TGCAAACCTACGGTTAGCTAGCTTAGGTTTTTGTTAGATTTTTTTTAGAACTGCGTTAGAAGTTTAATAATACAGTAAATACCTACAGCCTCTGGAGAACATTCGTTCAATTTCCGCTGTCACTAAAATAACAGTTAACCAAGATGACCCTTTGAAAATAAGTTTATTTTTAACTTCTTACACTATTGCACGTACGCAATTTTTTCTAAATAATAAATATAGCTTTCAATATGAATTGTAGTTATTGTTGTGATTTTTTTTATCGCATAATGACAATATAAATATGCACAATGATCTATGTATCATCCTCTATTAATAACCAGCCTTGAGGCTGTTATAAAAATATAATACTACTTAAACGAATCTTTATATATAGAAACATATGCGTCTGTTTGATTAACTAATTACTCTGGTTTTTGCAATAGTAGAAACTAAAAAACTAGAAGTTTTTTGGGGGTGTTTTTATATCAACCAAAGTGACTAACAAAAGTTATTACCTTTTTGATTAGTTTCTTAGTTACAAAAGTGTTGGTGGAACAGCCTAAACATTTAAAATTAATTACGGACATGCATGCATATATGCATTAAAAGCTATATTCACTGTGCTTTGTTTTTGTCAATTATGATAAGTGTTCATATCAAAAAACCATACTCCAAGATCAACATTTTATGCTTAAATGTATTTTTGATGCATATTTGAAATAACCTCTTTAGAACAAATACTTTAGTGGGAACAGTATGTAGGAGTTAGCATCATTGCGGTTTGTCAAGTTTGTTACTACTATTATTTCCGTACCATAAAGGTAAGGGGTATGAGATAAAGTATGGCTATTTTAGATGAAAAATAATAAAAACAATCTAAGAACCCTTCATCAGACGCGAGTGCAGATTTCATAACCGGCTTGATATCATGAAGGCTTCGTCGGAATCTTGGTTTTTCTTGGACAGTATTTTTTAAATTGTTTACTCAAATAAAACAATATCAGCCTCAAACGGTGAATTTGTATAGCAATAACGACTTATTGAAAGAATTATCGTGAGAAATATATCTTCGTGACTAATTAAAACTAATAAAGCCAGCTCAATCGCTGATGTAATGAATACAGTTTTTCTGATTTTTATAACGATTCTAGACATGAACAACGGGTAAGTTTGTTTCTCCAACATTACAGGCTAAACAAAGTTCGGATATGAATGGAACCCCTGGTCTTGGCCTCAGATATCTGTTTCTTTGATGATCCTTAAAGGAAGTAGGTGGTCAGCCATCTGTGCCTGACACATGCCGAGACACATGTTTAGTTTGCGCACCTGAATCCATTGGTGCTCATCCGTGATTTAGACCACGACCTTCGGGTTCATAGTCGTCTCGCTTAAGCATTAAATTCGGTATTCAAAAAACGTTGGGTAATTTGAATTATTAAAGGGTTGATGATGGCTGGAAGTCTTCCACGGTCCGCTTCACAAGACTTCTTTTGCGATTAGCGAACTGTGAAATCTACTCCCGCTGTGGGTCTTTCCTGTGAGATACGACATTCAGTTGTTTAAAAAAAGAGTATACTCCTACCTTCAACGCCTGCGACGTCATCCAATAAAATAGGTGTCCATGGTCCCGTAAGCTCGTTTGTATCCTATCCTAGAAAAAGGGTTATTTGAAAATAACATGACATATAAAATACAATTCAAAGCAAGCGATAATCACTTTATAATCGCCTATCAGTTTTCCTGTTCCGACAAACTACAATAGATTTCACGAGCAATTTGGTCGTTAAATAACTTGAGGATTCAAATAAACTAAAATTTGCTTTTAAAAAACAAAATTTACAAATTTTTTGAACTGTTATTTAAATATACGAGAAGTTTTTATAATCAGTTTTTTTTTATTACCGGTTGACAAATTTGTGCGACAGTAATACAAAAAGAATTGGCCAGCTATTTCGTCTTACAATGACGAAGATTAGGTACAAAAGATTAGGTTAGGTTTAGGATGGCCCACTCGTAACTGCCCATTTAGCTATTTAACTGCTCAGTTTTTAATATATGATCCATTTTATAATTTTTACGACTCATTTTTGTTTACTGCCATGTTTTAACTGCCGAACTCGTTACTAAATATGCATTTTGTAATTTTCAACATACCAAATCTACTATATACACCTGCCGCGTTAAATCAGTGCCCAAAATTTATAAAAAATTCATACGACGTAATATATATTAAAATTTAAAAACATAAATAAAGCCTTTTTTATTTCCTGTTTTACAAAAGTTGGTAGTTGTTATATTAAAGTTACCAAAAATATTGATTTGTTAGTAGGTTAGCTTAAATTATGTTAGTAATATATATTTATAGGATTTATTTAACAGGAACCCCGGTTTGGGTAAAGGCCTCCTCCAAAGATGCCCATTGTTGTCGGTCCTGTGCTATGGAGTGCCAGTTTTTGCCAGCTGATCTTTTCAGATCATCTTCCCAGCGGTCTAAGGGTCTCCCCTTCCGCCTCTTGCCTGGTGGTCCTTTCCATTGGGTAACTCGTTTGGTCCACTTTCTGCTAGACATTCTTGCCACATGGCCAGCCCAATTCCATTTCAGTTTTCGGGCAAAAGTTAAAGCGTTTGTAACTTTAGTGACGGCTCTTATCTTTGTATGTCTTATTTTGTCCATTCTCTTTATATTCAACATGCTTCGCTCTAAACCTCTTTGACATACATTGATTTTATTCACAGCTTGTGTAGAGAATTTCCAGGTCTGGCTTCCATAAGTTAAGCTGGGTAGTAGACATGAGTTCATAACTTTAGCTTTGAGAGTTATTGGTAGGTTACTCTTAAATATTTCTTTTAGGCTCCAATATTTATTCCAGGTTTGTTGGACCCTTCTCTCTATTTCTATAATGTTACTGTTTTCCTCGAAACTTATTCTTTTTCCCAGGTAAGTATAATTTTCTACATACTCTAAAGGGTTACCATTGATAGTTATAGGTCTTTTTCGTGTATTACTCATTATCTTTGTCTTCGTTAGATTCATCTCCAAACCAACTTCCGCACTCACCTGTTGTAGAGATTCTATCATGAATTGCATCTCGTTGACTGTCTCTGACAGAAGGATCAGGTCGTCAGCGAACCTCAGGTGACTTAGGTAGGTGCCTTTTATACAGAGTCCTGTTTTACTCCAATCTAATTTGTTCATGATGTTTTCGAGTATTGCTATGAAAATAGTGGGTGAGAGCGGGTCCCCCTGTCTTACCCCTCTTTCTATATGGAAGGCGGGGCCTAAAGTTTCTAGCTTTATTCTTCCTTTGTTGTTATTGTATATGCTTTTAATCACCTTTATGTATTTATCTGGCACCTCTTGTTCTTTTAAGCTTTCCCATATACTTTTGTGTATGACTGAATCAAAAGCTTTTTGATAATCAACAAAAGTTATGTAAAGAGGTCTCTGAAATTCTTGATATTTCTCCATAACTAACTCTATGGTGTGTATGTGGTCGATAGTAGAGTACCCTTTTCTGAAACCTGCCTGTTCTACAGATTGTTTTGCCTCTATTATCGGGCTTAGTCTATTATTTATAATGGATGCGAAAAGTTTGTATATATTTGGTAACAAACTGATTGGTCTGTAGTTGCTGATATTTTTTGGATCGCCTTTTTTATATATAAGAACGATATCTGCTTCAGACCATTCTATGGGCGTTTCAGAACTTAGAAGTATAGAATTAAACAGTTCAGTTAATGGTTCTGCCAAAATTTGATGACCATATTTTAGCGATTCATTTGTGATATTGTCAGATCCGGGACTTTTTTCGAATTTCAGCTTTTTTATTGAGTTTATTACTTCGGTTTTGTGAATTGGTTTTATAGAGTGGCAGTCTACAGTTTCTGTTTCGATTTTGTAAGTTGTTCGTGTTTTGTCTCTGTAAAGTTTCTTGTAGAAATCAGTTGCTGTATTCACAATATCCATTCGATTGTATAGGTCTTTATTAAGGGTTTTCAGTCCTTCTATCCAGGATTGTTTTGTTCTGAGTTCTTTATCTCTCTATACGACGTAATATATATTAAAATTTAAAAACATAAATAATAGGTCAACAAAAATACTTAAAACGACAATTGAATTTTCCAATAAATAATTGACTCTTGATCTGTTTTAAAAATTTCGTATTAAGTTTTTACTTTACCTTTTTTAACTTCGAAAAAGCTTTCGATACGCTGAGATGGAGCAGCATATGGTCGCGACTCTCTAACATTGTTGTCCCGCCAAAGATAATCAACCTAGTAAAGGCCAGCTACAGGAACTATTCTTGTATAGTGACTCATGATGGCCTCGTCTCAGACGATATTCAAGTGCACGCGGTCGTCAGACAAGGCTGTTTACTTTCGCCACTACTTTTCCTGGTTGTTCTCGACGGGATTATGCATCGCGTACATCAGTACAAGTGCCGCGGAATAGAATGGGGATTAACCAACATCTTGAAAGATTTGGATTAAGCCAATGACCTATGTCTGCTAAGTCACACGCGCCGCGACATGGAATCCAAGTTGGAACCTCCTGGAACGCGAGGCGGGATCTCAGACGGGGCTCAAAATCTCAACACCCGTACTAAATAAAAGTACTTTTTTAAAGCATTGTTGCAGATTATGTCGAGACTTGCAGTCCACATAATAAATTGTATCTCAACTAGGGAATAATAAAAGCAATGCGTTGTGACGACATTTCTCTAAATTAGTTATAAATTTTAGTATACGATTGCTCTATCATGACTTTGACAAGTACTAAATGCTGACTGTGCATATTTGTATGAGAAATATTAGTCCTGCGAATAACCAGAGGCGCTGTATGGTTTATCTATACAAATGTTTTATTTATTGTTAGTGTGTAATAGATTGTAACATGTTGTTGCCTTATTAGTATAATGCTCATTTTCCGTGTGAGTCGGTTTTAACTTACAAAACTAGTATTAATACACGGAATAAACTCCCTCACTTTTCTGTTGTGTAACCCCCTGTTCTTTCAGAAGGAAGTCGATGGAAGGACTGGTTACTCGCGTCTTTACTCCTCGGTGCAGTGGTCGGAAGTTGGACGGCCTTGCGTGCTGGACGCGCAAGTCGTGTCCAAGTTCAAAGGATGTTGAGGGATATGGAACAGCTTCGGAAGGCGGAGATGGCGCTGGATGATATGCAAAAGGAATTGGAGAAAGCACGGTTGGAGCAGGTAAAAAAAAGAGGCTTGTGAAAATATAAATGATAATGTATGTGATGATGTATCCTGCCTGGAATTCTTTACCAATTGATATCAGACGAGCTAGGTCTTTAAATTTATTAAAAATCTTTTTTTTGATCATTATTCTTCTGCCTCGTAATTAGCTACTACTTATACATATGAATTGTGTGAATTTTTGTTTAAACATATTAAGTATTATTTTAGTATATTAGTAAGTATTAAGTTTTAGTTACATGTTATTTTGAGTTTTTTTTTGTTTAGTATCTATGCACTTCTCGTACTTTACCCTCTGTAGGTGTTTCTTTTTTTATAGTGCCATATTAAGGTTGCCTAGAAGAAATCGCTTGTTAGCGATAAGGCCGCCCGTCGCTTAATAACTTATGTAACCTGCTTTTTATATATGTATGTTTTTGTATAAGGTAACGAAGTGTAAATAAATAAATAAATGGTGCGATGAACTTTTAACTATTTTCAATCAAGATTTATCATAATATACAGGGTGTCCCGTGGCAGATTTAGGATTTGAAATTCGAATATTTTTCTAACGGTTGCGCGGGGGATCAGGGAGGGGTTACAGTTTGGCGCTGCAATTGTGCGGATTGTTCAATAACGATGTCGCAGTGGACTGGCGCGCACCGCGCTTTCGCAGTTGAAGCGTATTTTGAAGCTAATAAATCGTGCACTGTTGGTCGCCGAAGATTTTGTTCTCACTACAATATTCGTCGCTTAAGTGAAGCACCGAGTGAAAGTTTGATTAGGACGTGGGTCCAGAAGTTCCGTGCAACAGGTTCAACTGTTAACGAGCCAAGCCCAGGTCCTAGCCGAACGTCAAGGACTGCACAAAACATTGAACGCGTTGAAAACAGTGTGCAAGAAAATCCCCGCCAGTCAGTGCGTAAGAGAGCGTCAAGTTTGCGCCTTCCAAAAACCACGGTGCACCGTATTTTAAGCTTGGACATTAAATTCCATCCGTACAAGATCCAATTGGTACAGGCACTTAAACTAAATGACTTCAGAGAACGCAAAGAGTTCTGTGATAACATGTTAAGCCGATTCCGAGCTGTTAACACCATTTGGTTTAGTGATGAAGCTCATTTCCATTTGAATGGCTTTGTCAATAAACAAAACTGTCGCTATTGGGCGCCAAGAGGACAAAACCTGCGATTGAAACACCAAAAAGCATTGCATAGCCCAAAAGTAACTGTTGGGGCAGCTCTTTCTGTCAATGGAATAATTGGATCGTTTTTCTTTGAAAATTCTCGTGGAGCAACCGTAACTGTTGATGGTGATGTCTATCGCCGCATGCTTAATGAGTATTTTATACCGAAACATAGAGAACATCCATCGCACAGCTCTCATACGTGGTTTCAACAAGATGGCGCCATGCCTCACACATCAAGAGCCACCATGAGCCTCCTTCGCGAAGAATTCCCGGAAAATTGATAAGCCAATTTGGGAACATCGCATGGCCACCCAGATCGCCAGATCTCACCCCCATTAGATTTTTTTATGGGGTTACTTAAAGGGAAAAGTGTACGACAGTAACCCGACAGATCTATCGGATTTAAAAGAAAATATCGTGCGAGAAGTAAATGCTATTCCTCGGTCAGTTTTGCAGCACGCCACTCAGAATACTCTCGAAAGATTCCGCGAGTGTGTACGTCGCGATGGACAACATTTGGACGGAGTGATCTTCAAAAAATAAAATCCGCATGTCTCGTCTTTCTTTTTATGACAAATATATGTATATTCTAAAATAATAACATTCTTTAATTTAATTAAGAAATCCTAAATCTGCCACGGGACACCCTGTATAATCTTTGACATAAGGGGAGTGTCGGCCTATTGTACCACAGCGTGCCACTGTTAACCCTGAAGTCATAGGTTCGAAGCCCGGCTGAGCACCAAATGAGACTCTCTGTCTATGTACGCATACGGTGAAGGAAAATATCGTGAGGAAACTGGTATGTAAAAGACCCATAGAAGGCTGATCACCTACTGATAGTGGCCTTAAAGGTTGTCCCGCCTCTAGCTTTTTTATTACTCGTATCTGTAACATTTTTATTTGACTTCGAACGCAGGATCTCTGTCCTTTATTTACTCATTCTTCTTAAGTAAGTATTATTTTCATTCTACAGGAAAGTGTAACAACAGAGAAGAAGAATTTAGAGAAGAAACTAAAAGAAGCAGGCGACACACCTTTACTGAATTCCACTTGGTCTGATCTCGAAGTGTCGCAACTGAAAGCTGAAATTGAAGTGAGTTCTTACTTTTTCCTTAAGCTTGTTGGACAGTTTAGTCATTATTGTATAATCAAAGCTCATGTAAGTTTGAAAAACATATATGAAAAACATATCCAAACGTAAAATCCCTAGTGATTACGTAACATGATTGTGGTGAAACATGGAGAAAATTTCAATCTACAGAAAAGCTTGCAAATAATATCAAAATAAGATTAACTTAATTTCGTAAAGGTTTAAGGCGAATATATGGATCTAAGGGAATGAACTAATCGCAAATTTTGACTTCCTGATGTCAAGAGCATGTTGGATTTTTGACATTCGGGAGTCATCCTTAACGCTAAGTGTTCGATTCAGAAACGATATCTGACTCCCATACGTCAAAAATGTATGGGGTTTTTATATGAAGCAGTCATAATTCGCCCTAAGTCTTGTTTCTGAATCTCATGCTTAGTCTCAACTCCGAATTTTACATATTATCATTGACTTTAATACTGGCTTTGTGTCTTGCAGATGCTCAGAGGAGAACTCCGAAGGGCGGAGGGCGAGTTGGAAGACAGGTGCTGGGCGCCTCCCGCGGGACTCCAGCAGTGGCTCCAGCTCACCCACGAAGTCGAGAACCGGGCCTACCTCAGGAAGAAGCAGCAGGCGGACATGCAACTGCAGCAGGCCAGGGATGCGGTGAGTGAGGGCTGATAGTGACGTAGCGAATAAAACATGATTTATTTTGATATTAACAATAAGTGGTCCTTTAAACTAAGTTTAATAATTTCGCTGGAATTTGTAATTTTCAATATTTCTATTATTGTGACTAATTGAAATTAAAAGATATTTTTTTAATTAACTATTAAAATGGACGTGCGTAATGCTTTGTAATTATGTATTACATGTGGGGCCTATAAGAATTTTTTTGCACACCGGCTGCCGTAGCAATGTCAAGCGCGTGGACCGTGTAGGCTATGGTCCTTATTTTATTAACGTAGATAATATAGAGCAGTTTTTCCCCACCTTTTTTGTGGAACGCCCCACTTTACACTCTCTAAAATTCTTATGTAACTTTTTTATATGAAAAAAAAAATTGTTTACTTAAGAAGAAACTTAAATAATAGGTTTTGGGAAGAAATTACCAGGAATTTGTTATGGAAACAGTAAATAAATTTTCAATATATAACGAATAACTGAAATTCCAAATATTTTTAATAATTTTTGTAACAGCCTCCCTTATCAACCAAATTCCCTGTCAGGAAAGTTATTGTAAAGAACTAAACGTTTTTTAAGAGAAAACATATACTGGATTATTATTATATAGATTACATAAACGCTTCCATAGATATCACTATTCACTCAACCATAGTCAATAAAGTGCTTGGACTACAGGACACCTCTAAGTCATAGACAAGCGAGTATTCAAAAAGACTTAATGGGGACTGATTGTTTTTTTTAAGGGTCTCACTACGATTCAACTATTTCCCATGTGCCGTGCAGGATTTAATAACTTTTTTTATTTATTTATTTATTTTATTTACCTTAGTGTGAGAAGTTACGCAAGAAACGCTCCAGTTTGGTCGGGGCGTTCGTGTCAACCCACGGGAAGTCGATAGACGATGTCGATCGCTCCATAGTCGAAGCCCGGACTGCGCTCAATGAGGTCACACAGGAATTACAGGTTTCTCATTCATACTAATATGTTTGTTCATCGTAACGAATCAATCGATTTCGCGTAGTTAAAATACTGGCGGGATTTCCATATTTTTGGTGTTTTTATTCTTTAGGCGCGTTAGGGAAAAATGATGAGAGTAAATTATCACGATGCGCGCGCACACCGTCACAAAAAACCGACACCCTGAACCTATAGTCAACATTTTAGTTTTGAAGTGAAACTTCTTTATCGAGGTTGGAAAAAATTTAGTGTAACATTTTTTCGTTACGCGTCACATTTTTCGGTTACGCGCCATGTTTCTTTTTGAAGTCAAACTTCTTTGTCGGCGTTGGAATGAAACTTCTTTATCGACGTATGGGAGAAATTTTGTAGCAAATCGTCACGTTTTTCAATGATAGTAATAATTCTATTACAATTAATGAAATTCTATAATAATCTTCGTAGTAATAAGGTAAAATGAAATATTTGTATTCATGTCTATGATAATAAAAGCCTTTTGTTAAAAGATTCACTTCTTACGTGTGTACACCTAGTACACGCACAATTTATTTTCTATTGTTAGTGTCGTTTTTCTAAAAACGTAGAATAAATTTTTTGAAAAGATTTTTATCTTGTTACGCCAAAGAAGTATAACTTCTGACGCGTGTACATAAGTACACACACTTTTTTTTTATTTGTACAGTCAAAATCTGTTACAATGACATCGAAGGGACTACTCATATTTGGTCGTAAAAACCGATAATCGTAACTGCCGATGTCGTTGTTATTAAGTACTTAATACAATAGAATTCAGCCGGGACCTTTGATTTTGGTATTCGGTATGTTGTTCTAAACGATGCCGTCGTAAACGGTTTTGACTGTTTCTTTATGAACAATTTTTTATTTACCAAACCGACATTTATATTGACCAAAATAATCATTGTTATTTTTCTTATTATAATAAGATTGCTAAATTAATTTCCATGTCGCATTTTCTTTTCTTTTAATGTAAAAAAATATCGCATTGCAAAACAGTCAAAACAGGTATTTATCACAAAATATTAATAAAAGGATAGTAACTGGGTAGTTTAAAAACATTGCAACGGCGTAAAATAGCTCGTTCAAAGATACATTTTTGTATGATACATACACATATTATCAAAAAAAATCCATGATTTATAGGAAAGAATGCATCGTTGGAAGCAAATTGAACGATTGTGTGGCTTCAATATTATCAACAACAACGGTCTCCAGTACTTAGAAAGCGCATTGTACCGCACTGCCAATGGTCGACAACCTAACAGAGGTAGGTTTTATTATGTATCGTTTTATTTTCATATAAACAAAATGGTTACCATGGTAACAGAATTTCATTCAATGTGATTTTGACACAAAATTTAAAATAAATGACTGTAGCAATGGACTTTCTTTCTAAGTGCGCATTTAACATTCGCTCGAACAGTGAAGGAAAACATTGTGAGTAAACCGGCTTGCCTTAGACCCAAAAAAGTCGACTGGTTAACTGATATTAGATTGACAAATGATCATGAAACAAAAGGTTGTTGCGCCACTGATTTTTTTGTATTGTTAGAACTGGTAATAATATAGAATTAATTATATATTTAGGTGAAAGCAAGTGTAAGTGTGCTGCATTTCGTATATGTATGTATGCTTGTTAAAAATGTCTAGAAATAGACAATAGACAGTAGTTTTTTTACACAGTAGTATTTATTGCTGTTTAGCTTTTAGCTTACATGCTAATTTAAGCAAATGTGCCTATTTCTCTATCATGCTCTCTTCGGGAGTTATATTATGTGGTGAATAATATTATAACTTAGAGCGGTTTTAATTTCATTTACCTCTGACACTGTGTTGTATGTATTTTCAGGTCGCGTAAACAGTTCCCAAGATGACTTAAGTGCAGCCGATGATACTTCGTTATGCGGCTCAGGTAAGGCTGATGAGTGATGACGTTTTGTAAGGATTCGATAATACACCTAGAACACGAGTTCGGAACTAAGGCCCGTATCCTATTTCGTATGTTATCTCATCCTGAGCTATCTCGATGTTGAACATAGAGTTTCCGTTCTAGAATATAGGGTCTTAAAAATCTGCGTCTTACAGGTATGAAAAATAGCGCCCGAGGGTATATGTACTTTTTTTTCGTAAATACTCTTTGATGCAGATGCGATATTACAGCAGCTTTATATGTGTATAAATTACCTAACGGAAAACAAAATGTTATTTTTTTTAATCTTTGAAATTATATTTGAAGTACCCACAAATTAAGGTTTTAAAAAATTTGTTAGGAAGTATTTTATTTATGTTTATAAATTTGTCTCAAGGTAGCTTTTTTACTTTTATAACGTCTGCTAAACCTAGAAAGTAAGATTTTTTTGTTAGTTTATTAGTACCAATACTAAATCATAGATGGCGCTGTCCGCTAAAACGCGTTTTCGGCTGTCTTTATAGTGTAAAAGCTCTAAAATTTTAAGTTGTTATAGTGAGATTTCTGGGCTCCGTTCACCAAACAGCCCGTGCTCAACTTTTCAAAAATAATTAATTTTTATTATTATTCGAAGTATATTAATAAATTAATATTAATTTTTATTATATATTTAGTGGTCTTTAATCACGAATGTTCGATGTATGTGCGTGCTTCCCTTTAGTTCCAAATACCTCCACGGAGCGCTGCTCAAGTTTAACATTCAGAAATTCTTTTATTTCCTGCAACGGGTGCTTAGTAGGTAAGGCCCTTAAGGCCAACAGCATTTCATATCAATACTCTCTTCCGTTGCTGTTATGTAGGAAGTATACTTAATATTATTAATAGTCGAGTGTGGTGTCAACCGAAAACGTACTTACAAAATATAACTTTATGATAAGAGGCTCAAAGTCCTGTGTAAGAATTGAAAAGACAGTATCTTTTGAAACTTAATTTAAAAATATTTAGGTTTTACAGGAGAACATTTTATTTAAATTATATTTTTATATGACGATAATAAAGGATAATAAGGATACGTTTGTGGTAATCATGATATGCGCAATGTTTAAGCTAACTATGTGATTTTGTTAATTAACACAAGTTCCTTTACATTTACAACTAGCTCAGAAAATAAAGCCTTAAAAAGGCGTTTAAATTAAAATGTGCTCGAAATTATTTAATTTTGGCTAAATTGCGTTTAGGAAAAACACAGCTTTCCTATGAAATAAACGTCGTCGGAAAATGGTACTTAAAAAGTAGTCAAATAGAGCCTTCAACTATATAAATGTGTTACTTAGTTTTTTAATAGTTACCGATTCGAGTCATACAACAGGCATTATTGCTTTTATTTATTTTAGATTTTTTAATGTTCTTAACTTATTGTATGACAATGATTTTGTGTATTTTATGAATAAATAATATTTTTATAAATGTATCACAATCGAAGGGAAGCTTTCAGGGTGATTTATTAAAGGCATGTATGATCTTTGGGTGTTGGTTTTTTATTTGCATGAACCCTTTTTGCACAGTCCGTTATTGCTTGCTTCATTCGCTATCACCTCACTTGTGTTATCAAACATCACTGTCTGTCATAGTCTGAAAAGTCACTGTCAACTGTCAAATTACACAGAACAAATTTACATGGATATACTTGCTATAGAGTCGTTAAAGGATAAGACATAGTACTGTAGCTTTGTGAGTATGTTTCATGTTCGCGCATCGCGCAAAACAGTATTTTATATTTCAGTCTATTATTTCAGTATTTTATATTGTCTTTGATTCACTTATTACACGGAGTACAGATAACATATTTTTCTTTTTTGTAAAGATAAATAAAAGCTCTTTAACGGATATAAATGCGAATATAGTATAACTCTACTAATGCTATACAGCACTCATCAGCGAGAGGTGCGCGAGATTAACATATGTTGCATTTTATTAACGTTATATCTGTAAAAAATTAAATTTCATATAATATCGTAACCTGGTCGTTTGAGATCATTCGTGACTGTCCTAGAGCTTAGTACCTATTTAGCAAATTTAAATTTATAACAGAAATCTAACTTCGTGAAAGAAAATAAATGGCAATAAAATTCTGCGATGATATCAGAGGGGTTTCTGCGCCTATAGTTAAGTCGGCTAACGCTTGATGTACGGATTAATTGGAATGATACGTCGTAATAACCTCGGTTAATTGATGCTCTAAAGGTTAGATTCGGAGTTAGCGCGTATTATGACTACTGTATATCAAATCCTATATGTTTATAACATAGGAGTCATACTTAGCGCTATGTCTGAAGTTATCCTGAAACTATATCTCACATTGTCCCATAACCCACACCCAAATTGCTTGCTTTTTGTCCTCAATATTAAAAGTTCGACTCGCACGTTTGAAAGCTTTTGACGATTGTGATTTGTTTTATTTGGCAATACCCTTATTCCCTTAGTTGCTTTGACAGCGTTGAATGAAGGTAAGATTTTTTGCATTTTGTTTATGAAACGGCAATACGACCGAGGTTATTATAAAATAAGATTAAATGGCTCGCTTCAAAACGTAGCTGTAGGTAATATTATTTAATTTTGTATATACATACTGAAAACATTTGTATATTTTTTTAAGGTATTTAAAATACAAAAAAAAATAATACCAGTGACCAATTTATTATATTACCAATTTATTATATTACCAACCACTGTCATTTCTGGTGGATGAGTTGGTGCGTTGAGATATATTATGCATATAAAGTTTTGAATAAATTGGAAATTTTGAATGGCTAACTTTAATGCTGTAGGTAATTATTGCCGTTTCTGTATTCTATTCTCTCTGCTTTTCTCTGGGTTCTCTCATACATGCTTTTGGTAAATTATATTAAAATTATTAAACTTTTGTTTATAGTTATACTCATTGTTAAATTGTAATGCTAGGATTCGTTGTAACAGTCGTGAAGAATATAGAAATGCATGTTTTAAAAAACTAAAATTGTATTATTATTTAGACGAACGCCCATTTCAAAACGAAGTCAAAACTAACTCGTAACAAAGGTTATTTATGAAGTGTTTATTGATTAACATATTTAGTGTCAGAAACCTTCGGGTGGAAAGAGGATTCGTCTGGAAGCGAAGCCGACACACCTCATTACCCTCTCGACTTGAGGCTCGCCGAAGCCAGGTAATATTATTGAATTGATAACTTGTATTTATTAGGGTTAATATCGAGTAGTGTTGGCCTAGTGGCTTCAACGTGCGCATCTCATCCCTGAGGTCATAGGTTCGAAGATGTGCACTAATAGACTTTCTTTCTATGTGCGCACTTAACATTCGCTCGAATGGTGAAGGAAAACATCGTGAGGAAACCTTGCTTAGACCCAAAAAGTCGACAGACTTTCCAGTACTTTACACCACATGATGGTAACTTTACTATTGGGTACAGAAAAACGTTACGGCGCGTTACATTAGGGGTGGGGGTAAAATTTCAAAAAATTGCGTGACGTAATACTTGGACCCTCCCTTTTGCAAAAGTATCATAAACTAATATTAAATTTTAACAATATTAGCTTTATTCTTTACTGGTCGTAGGGGAATTTAGGGGGAGACAAAACTTGCTCGTACAAGGAAAGAGAAATGAAGGTGTACTGATTATTCGGCTAGAATAATTAGTAACATAATTTTTATTCACAGACTGCAACTAGAAGAACGTTTAGCGCAAGAGGCTCGTGAAGGCCGCATGGAAGAAAGACGAGAAGATAGGAGATTAGCAGATGAGAAGAGGAGTTCATACAATGATGTCAGAAAGAGTCCGGATGAGAGACGAAGAGATCCAGTACAGTTTGTGCTGGGAGGAGACAAGTGAGTTACGATGTATTGCCTAATCAGATTCCGTGTAACATTTCTAAATAATGTTTTAATATTATTCGAATAAAAACCTCTTTTTATTGGAGTTTTGTATCGAACGAACGAATGTGGTTTAGCTTATTTATTATTTAAATATATTTTTTCCTAGTGTTAACTGGACTGGTGAAGACCTAACCCGCGCCGTACACTCACAATCTCAGCCTCAACTTCGTGCCTCCATGCGCAGTATCGGCGCACCCCTTCCCCCTCCGCGGCGCCCCTTTACCGGCCAAATAGTACGTTCGCGCAGCACTGACATAGTCCCGTACAATCCAGAAGACCCCAGACCTCCACCTAGACCTTTTATCAGACAAAAGCCTGTCCCAGAAGCAGAACAAGAGCCCAATACGCCCCAAGAAGAAGAGTCCACAGATTCGTCTCTGATGGAGGAAGATGGAGTTCCAAAACCCCGCAAACGTCGTATCAACCTGCCCTTCGGAAAGAAATCGAAGACGCCCGCGTGACCGTGGCTAGGTTTGTATCCTGATAAATTGTGCCCAGTTTTAGTGTCAAATATGGTTCATAATTGTTAAAAGGACTTATGTGTTTCGTATAGGCGAGGCTTTTTTGAATCAATGATTTTGTAGTTGCCTTAGGAACTAGGAAGCATTAGAACGGGCGACTGTGACTGAGTCGGATGATCTGGGGAACTACAGAGCTTTATAGAACTGATTCAGTATTAATTTGAACTCGTGAATGTCTTAATTTTACAGTCTCAGTTCTGCTTTGATGTTAGTTCCAACTGAGACTTCAAAATATTTGGTCGGGATTTTAACAATGTACCTACGTTTAGTGCAATTTTAAATTAGTTGTTTTGATTTTTTTTTAAACATTTTTAGATAATTTTTATTTATGCAAGTTTTTTTATTCCTAAGCACCTTAGTTTTATTTGTATTCCATTTGAAATCTTTTGTGTGGACTCGTTTAGTTGGAATGTTTGCCCCATTTTGTATATTTATTTATTATAGCAATACTATGATAGAAAAAATTGTAAGCTAAGCCCTGCAGATGTGAAACATCCAAAATATTATGTACATATAAAAAGATAGTTTACGACAGGAAATAAATATGGAATAATACAAAATTAAAAGTCTTATAAAAAGATGATTTTTTTGAAATTGAGAAAACACAAATCTTTAAATCAGTGATTTGTGTTATTGTATTGGATGCCGCCTCTGACGGTGTTACTGCGACGATTGATCCATAAACCGCCAAGTCCTATAGATGTTTCACATCAATTATTCGTTATTAATAAAAGTATCTACTTTATTAATCGCATAACTTAAACGCAAAACAAGCACTTATAAGCTACTCGAAAATGTTGTTGATACCTATACTCCTCCAGTCTCCACTCATCTCGGAATGAAAAATCGGAGTATAGAGAACGTCAAAAATATATTGGATTTCGGGAGTCACATTTACCGTCTTGTTTCAAAATATCACCAAATCACAAATTCAACGTAATTATATCGAATAACTTCAAGTTGACTTTTTACGTAACTGTTTTTAATACGTTTATCTCAAACTCAAAAGATGTTTATTCATGTAGGTAAACAATTACACTTATGAATTGTCAAGTTAAATTAATTGTAAATTTACATTTACTACCAGTTCGCAAGTCAAGGGCGTAGAGCGGGTACGAAGAACTGGCAAGAAACTTTCCGCCACTCTTTTTAATCGCCAAGTATTGTCATACAAATTGTTTGAACTGGAGCAAATCAATCCCAAGGATTAGGATCATTTAAGTATTCCTCCAAGTTATTCCTTATCTGTTACGGACCTAGCTTGTTTCCTATTTATAATAGATTTAATATAAGTAAAATTAATTAGAAGCAATAAATACGTTGAGGGCAAAGCGTTCCTCAACAGAAATCCATAGTGAGATCTTAAGATATTGCAAACGTTGTAAATAAGGTTGTGTTTAGGGCTGTCGTCTAACCCATAATTACCATTAGCGTTGTACAAAACCGCTTTTAGAGTACGCCAAGGTCAACGTAAGGACGGCAACCCTCGCGTTATAGTTTGTATTTCATGGCGATTAAGGGCTGTGACATTCAAACTTTTATAGGGAATATGCATTGATTAAAGATGAAATTATATTTTAATTAAAATATATATAATTTGCAATTTTATATCTGCCGCTTTCAAAATGGAATGCAGTTTGGGTGGGATGTGACGTACCAGAGTCTAACTAACTATTTTAAAATGATTACAGACTAGATAATCGTTAATCCATCCATAGATTAAACTCTAAATTAAAATTTGAGATCTTTGACACAAAATGGTGGCGTCATGAATGTACGTAATGCATATTCCCTATCATTTCAATAGTATCGCATCATTCCCTTGTTTTATTAGTTTGATAGCGATATTGCCCGGTAGCTGAGTAGATTAATTTTAAGTATTTTGGTGCTAAATGGACTCGTAGACTGAAAACCGAATGGCTTGAGTTACTATTCCTGGAACTAAGGTTAAGCTTCAGAATCGAGCGCTTAGTATGATTCCCGTATGAGAAAAACGTATTTGACTTTGACATACAGAAGTCCTAGCTTGAGCTTAGTGTCTTCTCTGGAACTTACCCTTATTAAATTTGTATGCGTCTATTTTGTGTATTTTGAAATTTTTTATTCTATTTACAACTGAATTTTATTGTTATACGTTGATGAACATGAATAATTGGTGTTTGTGGCGTTGATCCGGTAATAATTCACAAAATTTACAGTACACAGATGACATTGTACTTAACTTTAAGCTGTAAGCCATACCTCGTTTTCAGTTGGTACTCTGTTGCCGCAAATTGTCACAAAATGCAGAGTTGCCATGTGTTAATTTTAACCTAACTGAAAATTTGCAATAGTTTTATCGAGATCTGAAAAAGACAATCGTGATAAGTTGTTACTTCTTTTAAAAAGATAATAAATTGCTACTGAAAAATGTTTCGTCTTTGTTTTATTTCCATTAATGATTCATGGTTTATAGTTTTGGTAATATATGTATTTTTTTATAACGATGTGAAGTACAGTTTCGCCTAGCTGCGCACACCAAACTTCTTAAGGGGCCTCTACACGGGCTACACTTTTAATGAAATATGTGGCTACATCATTGCTGACTATATCCCGAAAATACAAACATTTTAATGCAGCACATGACTGAAAAATGTATATCTCGGCAACATTTCTGCAATAGTATATGACCCAGTTATTTTGTCTTTTCACTGTCTACATACATGAATTGGCTGATCCCTATGATTGCAATGGCGGACGTACTCATACGCGTTGCAACAGCAGCAAAAATAAAGGAAGAAAATTATGGGTTCGACCTTATTTCAATAGGCGTGATACATAAGATAATATTTAAAGTCTGAAATTAAGACTTGAACAATTATTTCTTAAAACTTTACACGAATATCAAAGAGTTTGATCACATTATTCACAAGATTAGACCAATGATACAAAGTTAAGATACTAACATGAGAAAAGCTATACCTGTTGTTACTAGATTATAACTACGATTATTAGCATGAAAACGGGACGCATTTAGGCCGCAAAGCGAGACAGCAATAATTTGGCTGAGAAATATTCCAGTATTTTCGATTGCAGAGCGTTCGTTCCGGCCATACGGCTGGGACACTTAACATTTATCGGACATACAAAAAATTTGGCAATATATCCCGTCCATACTAAAAATATTGCCGAGTATTGCATTGCCTGGTCGTAAATGCAGCCACACCCAAGCATAGCTCCTTTAGAGGAATTTAGCGTTCCATTACCTCCTGAACGGTATAAGATAATATTAACGCCTAGTATTCTGATGCTAGCCAAGATTTAAGGAGAGTACCTTCGAGTAGAGAGAAGGGGTGTTTTTTTTAAGTGGAAAAACAACCATTTGTGTCAAGTCGTATGCTAAAGCAGTAGGTAGTGAAAGGATATTCCCGCGTGATCGGTGAAGGTAAAGGTCGGAACTCTTTCGAGCAAGGAATTTGTTTAGATGGGCTCGATGTGTCGCTCCATTTCGTGATTTTCGCTACGTTGGAATCGCGTAGGGTCGTCGCAGTCTACGCGGAGATTTACTCAGATTAGATAGGTCCGTTCTTACAAGCATACCCAGGCGATGAGAACAGACATCCTCACTGACCTGCACGCAAACTCCCTCCCGAGGCACAAAATTACGTTCCAATTTGTAACCCGGGTAGGTGGGAGCCGGAAGATATCATGAGTCTCGGTAAGAAAGAGCAAGGCCGGCTTCGTAGTCTCCAAATGGTAGTGAATAGCGTTAATAATATTGGAATTAAGCCCCCGAACAGTTGTCCACGGCGAGTATGGAAGATAGTTATACCTTGGATAGTTTGCTCCGATATCGATTTACAGTGGTGGATGCCGTCTCCACCACGTGTGGTACCGACGAGTTACTTCCACATATATCTTTTTCTAATTTAATAGGACAGGCATACCACATTTTAATTATTAGTTACCTACCACCAGATAATTAAGTAAACGCTGGTCTTTCATAACATATTAAAATACTGGTCTAATGTCCTCTCATAAATAACGGTTTTCACAATTCATACATCAACTAGGCTAAGTGTGGCCATTTTATGTATGTAATAATTGTATTTTAATGACCAATTGGGAATGATTGCTATAAGGGAAATTAAAGACAATTTTGTTAAAGTAAATTTATTTAAAAATGTTGTGTACAAATATTCTATCAGCTGACAGTTGTACGCAGCATGCATACATAGCTTTCGTAACAAGTAACGGTTTACCTAAATCGGGGCACACATTGATCGCATTTACACTATACAGTCTTACAGACAGTTAAATTTAAACGCTGTTAACAAAACACAGCACGTTATCACATTTCAACCACATCTTCAATATTTGTGTAAAAATAATAATGGCTACATTGGTTGGTGCTAACTCAATGGGCAGGATTATTGCAAAGCACCTTGAATTTATAGAACAGAATTCAATGAGAGGCGGATATATTGGCTAATATATACAATATGCATAGGAATGTTGGAGCAAGTGACGCGCAGTACAAAAGAAAAACCTTTAAAATAAATGTTTTTTAGTCATGCATACTCTAAACACTATGCTCTCACACAACTCACGTTTGGGGATTACAATCGGGCAGTGGTAATAGAATTAAGAAATGATGATAATAATTGTTATAAATCGTATGCATCATATTTGTACATATAGTACCTACAATTTTAAAGTTGCGACAGATCTAGCGAATTAATTACCAATATTTACATTGCGTCTACGTCGCATCACCAGACACAGAATGCTGTATGTACCCGTCGAAAGCAGCTAAGTTATCTTTGGGTTTTAGAACAGACCTACGCCGTAAACAAAAATTTTAAAAAGGAATAATTTCCTAACTTAACCTTAGTTATAAAGTTAAAATTGTTGGCTCAAATTGTCTTACACGAGACTGAAAAACTTCAAACGTAGACATTTTCATTGTTCTCGAAGCAAACAGATATTTCAGAGATGTTCTAAGCGTGGCTTAGCGTTTTAGATTAACCCGAGAACATATTTTATAATACTACTGCTGTTTACACTCGGCGGGATTTTCAGCTGCAATAGGCTTATTCTTCTTATTGCGACGGCGTTGAGTTGGATGTTCTTCGTCACTTTCCTCGGACGAACTCTCGTCATCGTCTTCTTCTTCCTCCTTAAATTTACCAAGTTATATCCACATTACGCCTTTGATTACGACTCGAGTAGAGGATAGTACAATTAATTTTAGGCTAGTTTCTGAACCAAGTAAACAGCGCAACATTGCTTTGTTTCTTTTTTGATAATAAAAATCGGTCAGTGAATATATAGAATTAAAACAATGATCGGGAATAGCTTTAAAATAATGGATATATTCAAAATTTCTATGGTTATTAGTATTGTTATGTAGTCTTGATAAAACTGGACCTAATACTATTGCAAAGGACATCATTTAATTTATGTTGATACAACATAAATTATTCCTAACATAAAAATATCAACCATCCGTTTGCCATCTCAGCATGCAAAATAAGGTAAAAAAATAAAACACACTTTAAAAAGCTTACAAATTTAATGTTCATGCCAGAACATAAGCAATTACTGATAAAACTAGCTGCTCATTACGCTAACTCCATACATAAATAAAATAACTATTGTCAATATCTCAAGAAATCACAGTCGTGTGATGAATAAAATTGGCACAGGAGATTCGATAAAACACATTGGAATGACGGTATAGCGAACATAAATAGCCTTAGAGAATAATAATATCACAAAAAAATTTCAAATTACACAAGCGATACGTAAACCTCGTAAATACACTTCTTTACAATTATGTATAAAATAAATAAAAACGACAAATATAAACTAGAAATGCAATAAAGGTATCGTAACTAGTAACATGCATTGAGGCACCTCGGGTTCTAGAGCCGTGTAAACATGTCTAAAACATATTTATCTCCGATAAACCATGCATAGATTTCTATCTAGCGAAGACAACTAATTTAACGCTCGGAAAATGCAGGAAATTGCAACCGCGACGCGAGTTTTTGGTACGAAGTTCGACGAGTAACCGGAAAAGCTTAGACTACGCTCAAAGCCACTTTGAGCTAAGTCTGGGCTAAAAACGCTAGATCTTGCATCAATCCTCCGTCTCAGAAACCTCCTCGGTACCGGAGTCTTCTTCGGAATAAGAATCCTCCTGAAACCAAATATACCATTGGTTTTGAACCGGCGACCTAACGGACTACGAAGCGTTCGTCAGTTATTGCGACCGGCAGAGTTTAGTTTGTTAGTAAACGGAAAGAACAGCTACTGCGCCCATTTTATTTAGATTCAATTAAGGCTGCAAAGTTTACCGTGGTTTTAATTGATTACAACATTTTAAGAAAGCGTGCCATTATTATTCGTGCTTCGATGTGGCTTAGATCGGGTAATACTGATCCAGAAGAGGCGCTTGTAAGACGCTGCTATTTTATGTTTCGGCTTAATATTAGTATTTTGAAAAAAATAAAATAAAAGAAAGATACAGCCGAGTATGAAACTTTTACTACATTGATTTATACTGGACGACCACAATTTCTACTAAATTAGGTCAAAGTATTCTTGGTCCCATCATCTCTATAAAAATTCATCTTAAAAGATTTAGAAGCGTTGCAGTAGTAGTGAATATATTTTGTATGTATTTAAAGGGAAGATTCTTACATCTAGTGTTTGGACACCGCTCATATAACTCAATACATTCTATGCTTTCAACCAAGCAAAGCGGTGAGGCAAAGAGTCCTCATTACTTCTCATTAGTGCTACTCGTATTATGCCTACGCTTCAAGCAACTAACATGCAAGCTAAATGGCTAACAGATGGCTGTTCTCATTTGCACACATTTCAGAAATAAAGCAATATTGTGTAGTGTGTTAGAATAACTTGATATTATTTCACATAAAAATGCAAATTGAATAAATATAGATAGAAAAGTGACTACTGATTTGGGTGATTTTGAAATTATTTCTATATTTTGATGGATTTTACAATAATTTTGTTAATTTATTACATTTAAAATGCATATTTGGAGAAATAGTAGTATTGATTTGTGGTATATGTAAACCATGAATAAAATCAACTCATAAGAGAGATACTTTTTGTATTTATTACAGGCGGACCACAAGTGGCTATGGAAAGATAAATTGCCAGCCCTAAAAGTGTATGTTATGTGTGTTTTGTATGTCAGTGGCTTACCTCTTCCTCGTAGTCCTCGTCATCTTCGTCGAGTCCTTCTCCGGTATAGAGGAGTACGGCGCGTGAAACAACTCGCTCGCGGATGTAATGGCCCACCTCGAAGTCGAGCGCTAGTAGCATCTGCGTCAATATTTATTTTTCTATTATGTATGCAATTGTAAGATATACTTATATGAAGAAAAGAACACTTCTCGGAGTAATATGGTGGAAACACCAAGAAATTGAGGAAAGTTGAAAATCTCTAATAATAAATACCATAAAACAAGCAATTCTTTGATGAAATGAATAAATGAATAAATGGGTCCATAACTATATATTACCTGTGTGTCAGAAGCAATAGTGGAGTTAAGGTCCTCGGGCACAGATGGTGGACTGAAGAAGTTAAAGAATGAGTCAGCCTGGACCAACTTGGTGACCGTTCTGACTGAGCCACGGGATTTGTGCTTCTGTTTCTTCTTTATGGTCTTCACTGTTACGTTCTTGCCTTTTTTCCATACAATATCACAGCCCTATAACATATATCACATTATAAATAATGTTTTATTAAAATTAAATTTCAAGCTCTCTGAGAAAATAAATACCTTGCAAGCGTAAATTTCAGGGCCTTCAAACTCCAATGGGCTCTCATCGTCAGGTTTGAACTTCATGGAATATTGTTTAGTCAACACTGCATTCTCAAAGAAGTCATTGGGGGCAAAGTGGAACTCTAATGTAAAGCCAAGGGGGTCATCATTCATTTGCACTGTAAAAATTGGGTTAATTATAATCTCTATATTTAATTCCAAGAATATATTGCAGGATTTTCTGTATATATTTAACATATTTCCAAAAAACCATTTTCGTCAAAAAAAGTCAAGCTATATTGTATATTGTCTTACCCTTTATATCATGCAATGACTTGAGAATTGGTTCATCTTGATCTTGCACCATTTCACTCAACTTTGAGACATTTTTGAATATTGTCAACCAGAAATCAGGAATGCCTTTGACATTGGGGTCCATCGGAGGCCTAAGACATATTAAAGTTAGAAAATGCCCAGAAAAATAAAATTAATTTGTATTTTGTAGAGCAGCCTCAGTTGGTGATGCATGTTAAACAAATCAATCATGATTTTCAGATAATGGTGTAGGATGTCATCATAAAATAGTTTAATGTATATTACTTAATTATATTTGGTTCAGCGTTTTAAATTGCTCCCTATATTAAACAAAATATTAGTATAACTATATTAAGAGTGGATACCTGATCTTATAGTTAAATAATACATACTCAGCATTTTTGTTCTCTTCACTCTTATCCTTGTCCTCAATGGCTGCGTTCTGTACAGCTTTGGCCAGTTCCTCTTCTTTTGTATCATCATGCCAGGGGGTGTTGCACTCTTCATCGGTGGGTTCATGAGTTCCCACCACAACTTGCGCCCTCTAGAAAACAACCCATGTTAATAGATTGCTCCTTTAGCTAATTTATCAAATAAGTTGTTTTGTTAACTTCAGTTGGTGATGCATGTTGAGATCCTCACGGCACTCAGATCTTGGTGATAAATAAGTCATCATGTCAAATATGCTAGTAAGTGGTTAATAGAACCAATGAAATTAATTTACCTTATCAAATAAAGGCTGGTACATCTTGGCATACTTGCACTCAAGCTCGTGAACTTCAGAGTAGAACTTAGCTTCAATATCCATAAATTCCTTTTGGAGCAAGCGTAACGCCTTGATACGTCGACGGACGGCGGGCGGTAACGCAGCCAGAGTTTCAGTGTGCACACTACAGAATAATGTATTTTTTTTTAAAGATTCATCATTAACAAAAAACGGTTCTCAAAAATTTTATTACCAGGCGACAACAATTTAAAAAAATGTAGATGAATCATAGATAACATTTTAAAATAACTTCAACATAAAAAAATAAATTATCTTCCTGTACATTATTTGAAGTTAGTTAAAGAGAAGTCTCGAAAGTACAGTCATAAAACAATTTCAGAGAAAACCTAAACACATAAATTAAAGCTATTTAGAGCATGGCCCCATTAAATAGGAGCTGTTGAACATTTATAGCTATGTACATTTAACAGTGTACACAAGAAAAATACAGGTTATTTTATTAATTTGTTGGCATATTTTGCATAGGAGCATCAAATTGAATGGAGAGTACATGTTTTCTTCCAACATTTTTATATTCCAACCAGTTGAAACAGTATTCTCTAACATATGCCATAAAATAATTATATTTTATAGAATAAGACAATACTTGGTTTCAAAAATAACATATATATCCATGTCAAGTTATATTACTTTATAGTTGGTTAAGAAGTAAAATGCTAAGTTACTACGGTTATAAATTTACTGTATGGAAGAGATAAAATGTTTAATTTACTAAATGTGTAAAAATACCTTGAAACAAGGAAGTGATTTCATAATCTATCAGTCTGTAGAATTTTATTAACAGAAAGATCTAGAATCTGTTTCAAGGTAAATAGAGCATAAAATGAGTCACTGCGAAGATCATTGAACTGCTACAAAAAAATTCTCTTAATTCTATTATAAAAACGATACAATTAACTGAAAATTTCTTAATAGAACAAACCTAAAATAAACTGTGGTTTACAATATGATTTGACTCAGAATAAAAGTAAGATTAAAATGAGTTTTCTTAAACCATAATAGGAAGAAGTAGAATTCTATTTTATTGGTTATAATTTTGAATGCCATGCTTTAACAGATGGTCACATGGAGCATTACACATTTAAACACACTACACGTATATAAGTATTTATGGTTTACTTTTACGAATCGTCGAGATGCCTTTATTGTAGTCTAATTTAAAATAAAATTTGATAGAGTACTTTTCTAGTCACAGCATTTATTTATATAAATTACGAATAATGCGTTATAAATAGGGCTAGCGGCGTGGTGACTTCTATGTCATTATAAAACATACCTTCTCGAGAGATAGTGAATTATGTCTTCACTTCGTACAATTCCATCTTCCTGTCCTGATTCGCTTTCTGAGGTAGACGTCCGTCCACTTCTAGTTTTTTTACTCTGTTTTACAGAACCCATTCTCTATCTAAAACAGAATACAACACATTGACTTCCCGCCACGTTGGTTACCGGCTTGGTTGAATGTGAAAAATATAGCCAAAGGAATACTATATATTAAATTATCTACTGCCTAATAATTCAATTTATAGAAATATTAACTTTACGTACAAAAACGTAATGCGCAGTTACGATATTGGCTTGCCGAGACAGACCACATGGTCACCGTGATTAACTTAACAGCGTATTTACAGAGTTTTAGCTTTAAAAACTTAAACAATCTTAATATTAACTTCTTTTGAACACTAGTTATTCAAAGTAGTACAGTAGAACAACATTTTGTAAGCACAAACTATAAATCTTACCTTTTCGCCGACAAGACTTGTATGAAAAAGAAAGATGGCGGCGTTATTGTCGATCGCCCGAGTTGAAATGAATTTTGAATAGATTTGGAAAATGAACAAGATATCTAGACGGTAGACTGATAAATAAGTCTAGCAACATTTATTTTTAGCATCCGGATTTTTGTCTATGATTATTTTGCACAGACAACTTATATAATCTGCTTATGATACAATGATTTTGATACACTGAGAATATTACTTTAATCCAAAGACGAATTCATAAAATACAACACAGAAACAATGGTAAAATAGCAAACCAAGAAATATATTGGTGCATTACTTTCTAACACAAATAAAAACATCATTATAAATATATCACATATCAAACACAATGTATTATGTTCACTTATGAACGTCACATGTAATAGCTTTTATATAAATAATTTATTATAAATGTTAAGTAAAAAAAATATAAAAAAAATTATATAATTTACTACCAGTTCTCAAATCAACGGCGGAGAAAGAACACGAAAAACTAGCAACAAATTCTTCGTCACTTTTTGAAATTGCCAAAATGTTTGTTTTGTAAAGTGTTTGTAAGGAGCCGTTTAATCATTAATATAATATATCTGGCTGAGAATGCTGTCTCCGACACTATCGACATCTTTATATTATGTTCTTCGCAGAGTGAATTCACAATAGCGATATTGTGTATATTTATGTGTTTAATATTATATATGTACTTTGTTATATTTTATTTAATGTTTCTCGACATTATTGTATTGGCATAGTCTGTAAGGATAATGTATGTATTTCTTTAATAAATAAATAAATAAATAATCTAAAAGTAAAGTATTTCATTATATTATCTAATAAGAAAAACAAATGTTTAACCTCTATCACCAACAGGCTTGGTGAAATGGCACAGGCACTTATATTATTATGGGGATAACACACAAATTACGTAGTCATCAATTACGTTTAGCTAAATCATTGTAAAAATGAATAGCACGTAGAACATATTCATAAAAAAGATCGTTCAGTAATTTAGTTTTTTTTTTATAATTTTTTTAATGTGGTTAATTACTACCATAAAATAGACACGCTAGTTCTAAATAAAATAATAAAACTCGACAAACATTGTTTTATTACCTTTTAACGCATTCGACAATAATGAACCAAAATCTCTTCGATTTAAGCGCGATGATAAGGTCAAACAATAATTGCATAATTGACCGGCTAATGGCCATTATTATTAAATTGACTAAATGTGTAGTATCCCTATTTAGTCTGTGGACAAAATAAGGTTTGAAGTTTGACCTCTCATCTGTCATCTGTGATTATCGAGTGTCAAATGTCAATGCTGTGTTTAATTTGTGATTATTTAAAACTTGTTTAATATAGTTTTGAACATGAAATCTTCTAAAAGTTAATGATATTCATGATCAATCGTGGAAACTAAACAATTGTAATGGCGCCAACAGTGCAAACTAATGAACCTGCTGAACGGGAAAAGCGTCCGCAAAGAACTGGAGAGAGAAGGTTAACTAGTTTATAATTTACAACTTTTGTACCATTGTTTGTCAATTTACTTTAAACATTACCTTTTCTTTTATTAGGGCGGAACTGGTTACACGAATAAAGTACTGCAATACATTACCAGATATCCCATTTGATCTGAAATTTATTACATATCCGTTTCCATCAACACGGTTCATCCAATACAATCCTACCTCACTGGAGAAAAATTATCGCTACGAAGTACTGACAGAACATGATCTGGGTGTTCACATAGATTTGATTAATCGTGATATATACCAAGGTGACGGTAATGCAGCTTTAGATCCAGCCGATGAGAAATTGTTAGAAGATGATGTGCTTACACCACAAGACTCGAAGCGATCGAGGCATCACGCTAAGAGTGTGTCTTGGTTACGACGATCTGAATACATTTCTACAGAACAGACAAGGTTTCAACCCCAATCTATGGAGAAGGTAATATTCTTTCTATGTATCATCTGAAATGGTTCATAGTGACTGTAGAGTCAAGTAACTAAAACAAAATATTATAATCCATATTTAATTTTGAAAAATGCTAGATTTTTCCAGGTTACATATGTCATAATGTGTGCACAACTTTTAGGTTGAAGCAAAAGTTGGTTACAACGTTAAGAAAATATTTAGTGAAGAGACCCTATATATGGACAGGGAAAGTCAGATTAAAGCTATTGAGAAGACATTTGAAGATAACAAGAAACCAATAGAAAAGCATTACAGTAAGCCAGGTGTGACTCCAGTTGAAGTTATGTCAATATATCCTGACTTTGACATGTGGAAGTATCCATGTGCACAGGTTATATTTGATTCTGATCCAGCACCCACGGACAAGAATGTGGCAGGACAGATTGAGGCTATGTCTCAGGCGATGATTCGGTAAGTTCGAAAATGCATAATTAAGATTGCCATTGCCCTTATTTTGCTTATAGTTAGATACCTTAAGGTATAGAATCTATGATAATTAAATAACATTTTGAACATTTCTCAGAGGTGTGATGGACGAAAGTGGAGAACAGTTTGTGGCTTACTGTCTTCCAACTGAAGACACAATACAAAAACGAAGACGTGATATCACTGAAAGTATTCCGTATATGGATGGTGACACTTATGAGTATAAAATGGCTAGAGAATACAACTGGAACGTTAAAAGTAAAGCATCAAAGGGATATGAAGAGAACTACTTCTTGGTTAGTGACACCTTTTTACATTGGGAACATTTTTGTGTGTTATAAAAAACTAAATATGTACATACAGGTGTACATATTTAGGTACATTCTAATAAAGCTTAAAAGTTATGGGATTAGTATGTAAATAAATTATTAAAAGTTGTCATTTAGTGGATGTAGAAATTTTACTGCTTCTATGGATTATGCAAATTCTTTCATTTTATGTTAAAAAATCTATCATTCCTGTATATGGAATTTTTTTACCACACAGATGCATTCTCTATGCAGATGATACCATATCATATCCGAAGATACTGCTGTAACTGATAAGTACAAAAATAGTGATTATTCTCATGTCTTTGTTTGAAGTTTATCCTCTGAACTGAAGGATTAGCTTCAATAATAAGTAATTAATAATCCAAAAATAAGTTTACACAGTTTATTGAGTCTTTTGGAATCAATTAATGCAAAAGCAACAGTTTGATCAGTTAATCAGATCAATTAATTTCTCCTAAAATGTTACAAGAAATTTAAAAAAGAATATTAATTTACATTTTGTCAGAGACAAGTACAAGATTAATAATTTAAGTTGACATAACAGGTATGTTTAAAGAACTTTTTTTCATTGACAAATTAAAACATGTTACCTGAGAACTCATAATATGATGTTGCCATTATGCAATTTTAATTTTGAACATTATTCTGAAATAAATGTAATAAACAGGTGGTTCGCAAAAACTGCATTTACTACAATGAGTTGGAGACAAGGGTCCGTCTGTCGAAGCGACGCGCCCGTGCTGGAGCTGCTGCTCAAGCGCTTACTAGATTGGTGGTTACTCACAGACCACTCAGTGCACCTGAACATCGTATGCTTAGACTTAGGGAGAAACAACTGGAACCTGCTCAGGTTTGTTTTTTTGATACAAATTAGTTGTTGTCAAAGCTTGATTTTTAAATATTCCAAATAATTGATTTTGTTAAATAAAGTTTTCAAATTTATTGAACTTCGATTCTTCTATTAAAATTGTAATTTTATATAACTTTCATAATTAAGATTTTTTTTAAATAATTTCTCAATGGTATATTATGCATACTTAATTATGTTATTTTAGGAAGAAGATGAAGAAGAAGATGACGAAGAGGAAGATGAAGAAGAGAGTAAGGAACAGAATAGAGAAAAAGAACGGTGAGATATTTTATATGTTTCCCACAACATTGTTGCATGTTATACATTTGTTGTATTTTTTGAATATTGTTGTACATTTATATATTATTAATTTTATATCCAGTATTTTATGAGTGAAATACCTTTTTAACTACAATTACTTATTTAAAATACATTAAATAATTTTACAGATATTTAAAAATTATAACTTTTTTTACAGCTCCAGGTCTCGTTCTAAATCTGTGTCAAAATCACCCCAAGGTTCAGAGAAATCCAACCGTTCACGATCGGTTTCTCGTGAAAAGTCCAAATCAAGATCTAAATCTAAGAGTAGGTCTCGCTCGCGATCTGGATCCCGAAAGTCGAGATCTAGATCTGGTTCAGTGCAGTCTGGAACTGGCAGGTATTTATTCGCTATCTGTACATGTATCTGTTAAATATTTTTATTTATTTAGTACGCACGTACGTACATGTACGTTTATGAGATTAAACTTAATGGAAATGAAAACTTTATTAAAGTATATCGACATTATTCACTAAAAAAAACTTTAATTATAATGTCTATTATACCTACTTCTGTAGAAACACAAAGAAAATACGGTTCTTATAATTGACTTAATTTTACTTACTATTTGTGGTAATACCTTGGGATTGCCCGGAAAAGATTATTAGCGTTAATGCTGTTCATTGCACAACGTAATTTTTATTTCCATTTTAAATTATTCTGTGTTTTGTCATTTTAAATACTAAAAAGATGAAGTTCGTAATTATTTCAGATCTCGGTCGGGTTCTCGAGCTTCGTCACGCGCTTCCTCACGCTCGTCTGGAAAAGCTTCCAGAGCAAGCTCCAAAGCAAGCGGAAAGGTAACTCGTAGCCACATTTGTATAAAGTTTTTGAAGTGAAACTTCTTTAGGCGCATGAGGGTAAATTTTTACGGATGAAACGCAATAATAATATAAGCTTCACGAAGATGTGCAGCGTTTTTGTCGAAGAAAAGTAGAGAGCGATTGAGAGAGAGTGAGAAAGGGCGAACGTAGCATAAAGCTATTAGCCATGGAGCGAGAGTAGGGAGCAAGCAAGTGAGAAAGATCGAGAGAGAGTGAGCGAACGTCGCATCACGCAGTGCCATAGAGCGAGAGGTGGAAGAGAGCTAAAGTGAGAAAGATTGCGAGAGAGAGAAAGGGAGATCGAGAAAAAATACACGTTATTGGTTGATGTATTCGTTTTGTACTTACATATTAGAACTTTAGATGGCAATTCTGTCGCAAAACGTCTTGTGTAGTAAACGCAGATTTTTTATTTATTTATATTATCATTAGCACGTATACGGTGTGTAAACAGTGTGAATATAGATATACAAAGACATGGAGTGATCATATACTGGTACATGATCATCTATTGGGCCTTTACGATAGTAATAATTAATTTACAAAGAAGTTTCACTTCTGACATGTGTACTTTGTACGCACGCACTTTTTAATTTTTAATAAAAAATGTGAAAACGAACACGTTTTTTAAGTATTAAAATGCATTTCATGTTAAGGTCTCAAAAGCGTCATCTCGAGCGAGTTCTCGTGCATCATCTCGTGCCAGTAAGAGATCGTCGCGCGCTTCCTCTAGAGCCTCGTCGAAGGGATCCAAAGCATCGTCCAAAGCCAGTTCGAGACGGAACTCAACTGGCTCCGAAAGATCTAGAAGCCGATCTGCTAGTGGTTCTAAACAGGTAGGTTTGTTTCGTAGATTTGTATTAGGGAGCGTTCAAGTATTACGTCACGCAATTTTTGGAGATTATTGACCCCCCATGTAACGCGCCGTAACGTTTTTCTGTACCCACCTAGTGACTCTTTATACTGGTACAAGTTACCATTATGTGGTGTAAAGTACTGGAAAGTCGAAAATAATATTAACAATAACGCGTAATTCAATTCCCGCCCCGCATCGTAACGTTTTACAAAAGGATAAAAAAATTCGTTACGTAATACTTGAACGCTCCCTTGGAAGAAACTTAGAAGTATTTGTTTGAAACAATATGATTTTTATTCTATTTATTTTTAATTAATTGCCGATAATTCAATAAATCTTAGCTATCATAAATGAACCTTAGATATCTTAGTGATGTTCTACTTAGCTCTTAATGTATAAATGGTAACAAAAATAAGGAATTAGACTCTCCTAGTTAAAGTGATTTGTATACTATTTTGTCTAGAACTTGGATGGATACAAGAAAAAAAACTAAGGTCTCAGATTATTAAATTTTTTAGATTATAAATATTTTTTTAAAATAGGAAAATAGGTTTTCACACTTTTATGTCTGACAGACGCTGTCTATTGTTGGGTCTTCTTAGACCTAAAAGAGAGAAGTAATAATAGTAGTATGAGGACTAAATCTTTATTTTATTTTATGTTTGAAATTTGTTTTGTTCCAGGGTTCCAGGAGCGCATCAGCATCCAGCGCTTCATCGCGTCATAGCGGATCTGACTAAGAAATGTTTCGACAACATGTCCTGTTACTTATTATGTAATAAACTTTATAAAATACATTATTTTTATTTTAAACCAAATCGATTCACGCAATACTTATCATCATGTTTTGAGACCGTCAGTAGAGCAGTATTGGTTAAGTATGGACTCATTTGACGTCGTAAGTTCAAATCCCAGTGATACCAATGAATTTTTCTGTTTTCTTTGCGTTTTTTTAATTTATTGCTAGTGGCGTTGGTGGCTTTCGTAGTAATTGTTTTACTTTCTTGTATTAGGTCAAGAAAAAACTTGCATTCCTCCGTAGACAGGTCGACCCAATAAAACACATTACTATAACAAAATACTTAAAGACGGAAATCAGCGTCATGCTAAAGACACTTAAGTATTATAGACACATAGTATTATCTAATAAAAATAGAAAAAAAAAAAACTAAATACTTACAGGTTTCAACATCTATTACGACAGATTATAATTGTATAATTTATAATATTATGTTAATTTGTACTCAACCAAACGACACATTTAGAAAATAGCGCGCACAAAGCTTCATGAAGCCATGGGTTGTCACTTCAACTTCAATTTGTCAGTTGTCACAAAAATTAAACGTTCCGTTCCTTACTAAAATCATATTACCACAAAAAAACATTAATTAGCATAATTATTAATTTAAATGGAAACCTTAAACGTTTTTATTATTAGCTACAACCAAAAATATTTGTTTCTATAGATGCATAGCCTTACTTATTTTATTTCGTTCCAAAAACAGCAAACTTTTAGTATGCTTGAACAAACATATAGCATTTAAGGAAACGCGGTCGAGAGGGAAGGATCACAATCGGATAGCAGATTTGTTATATTGGCATGCAGATTGGAGATCGATCTTTAGATATGAATCAATCCAAGATTGTTTATAATCTTAGATTGAGGATACATTATTAATTTTGGCCGTATGTGCGCAATAAGCACTTGCTCGTACTGTTATAAATAACTGAATCACGACATCTCTCGTCGCGAACATTAAATACTGATTAACTTCTTGAAATGGAGCAAAGACCAAGATCCATAAAGAATTCTAGTTATTGACGTCAGAATAACTTATTTTTAATTTGAAAATATCTTCGATGCGTTTTATTTAAAAGGTTTGGTTGCAAAAGGGATAATAATGGTTCTACTATTTTGTGTCTGCTTTATCAAATTCCTCTTGCAAGGGAATGTTCAATTCGATTTTTATTTTCAACATTCTATTTTATTGTAAAAGGAATATAGTAAAAAAAAGTCATATTCATAGCAATTTTATTAGTGCATTTGATATTATAATGTTATTCTATAAATATATTTGGACATATCCAATTGTAAAAATAAAAAATTACACAATTAATTTATAAAATTCCAAAAAATTTAAATGCATGGTTTTTTTTATCATAAATGTCAAATTGTCTATTAAAAGTCAGTAGCCTGTTCTTTTATAAAATACTTCATTATATCCGAGTGTTGGACTTCCTTCGTGAGACGGAATTTAAAACTCAAAAATGTCTAAGTTCTTAGATATAAATTGTCACAGATTATGTATAAGTCTAGATAACTTTTGACAAATAAACGAGTTCAATATTTCAAATGGAGCATATTGAGCAGGCGGATTTATTACATTTTTAAGTGTTTTAAACAGCTGTTCCAATCTACGCTATAATGTGAAAAACCTTTAAATAATAGTGGCTCTTGATTACCACATATTTTTAATATTTTCATTAAGTATTCGACTCGATATAATAACGTTTCTTAATAGCGCCAAGTTAGCAATACAATGCAATAGAAACATACTTAGTCGATAGCAAAGGTTTTTTATTGCTTTCGCGTTTACAATTTTTAACAAAGCGCATGTATTATTCATGCTGGGGAATATATTTGTAATTACCATATGAATTAACTATTTACCATAGTTTGGCTCTGTGTTAAAATTATTTAACGTTATCAAAATTATTATAAATTCTGCCTTATAATTAGTAAATACTTAATGTACTAGGTAAAATTTTGAAATAAGTTGTTAATTTATCAGTTTGCTCATTGCATGTAAATATAGAAAAAATTATTCTACATATTTTCACTTAACAGTTCCATGTTAATAATTAAATATTTTTGTTGATTATTATTATTACTATATTTTATCTAAAAACATTAGAAATCTTTCTAAACTAAAATGGTGCTTTAATTTTGTATATTTCATAAAGAAATATGTGTACATCTCTTAAGAACAGCGTATAGTTTTGTGTGATGGAAATCGTGGATGCTATATTATAAAGGTCAGTTACTGAGTTCCTTAGCGATCATATCCATATAGTGTTGTGTGAATACTGCCTTGTTATGCATAACATAACGTAGTAAGGTGCCTGACACCGAGGTCAGTTCTTTAGTAAATGCTGATAGTCCAACTGGTATCTGCCTGGACCCACCGGAACATACAAGGATCACTTTTAGGAACTCAAGCACCCTTTGGCCTAAAAATTAAATTAAAAATATATAATTTAAGCACTAGAAGACTTGTTAGAGTACGTACGGCGTATATCACGTGACGAGTCAATTGTCAATGACAATATAGTGTATGCGGAAAGAGAATTTAAGAAGAATTTGAGGTAGCTGCATTTTTAAATTACCTTTTTCATTATATTTTCCTCACTATTACGTCATTATAGGTGGAAAAATTATTAAAATTTGATATATTTAAAAAGATGTGATTAGATTAAATACGCGTAGAAAAATAATTATAAGTTCGCACAACCGCCACGCTGATTCTCTTTCCGAACATACTACTTTCGTTAGTAAATATAGACGTTACTAATCGGGACATCGACTTGAAGTAAATAAAGAAGTGAGACGTAGCCTAATAGAAATAATTAAAACATAGAAAACAAATTCAAATACATGGCCGATCGTAATATGGGAACGTGGCGCCCGACAATCTAAGAAATATCTAGTCTCATCATCAGAACCATTTGTCGAAATTTTATGATTATTACTTGTAATATATTAAAATAAATTTGAATTAGCCACGCGATACCTTTAGTACTAAAATCCAAAGTTTTATTAGAAATTATTAAAATTACTCACGAACAATCTGCCTCACTCTATGTTCTGGATCACTGATTGATATAATCTGTGTGCGTATGAGATCTTTTGTTTCTCCACTTAGAGGCTCTTGATTCATACCTTCTAACAACTGTTCCGTCATTTGTATAACTTCTTCGGCTATGGAAGGTAGTACTTCTTTTAATTCTCTGAAAAATTAAACAATTTAATATGTCAATTTGGGAATTTACTATATAGGGGAAGATCGTTACCCTTCGTACGCGGGGCACATTCATACAGTCAAAATAAAACTTGAACGAAACAAAGTACAGTCTTGTTTTTATATGTGTGCATGAGTTGAGGTACGAACTATACATCAACGAAGTTTCGCGAAATTCGCACCAATGAGAGTGAAGTTACAGGCATGGACGTGATTTCGCGCTCGGTAAGTAATTTTTTGATCAATGTTTTTGTCTCTTGTTACCGTAGATAAAATAAGTTTTCGTGTAGAGTATTCTATCAGTAACTAGCAAAATATACTTATGATACGTCTCCAATACTTAATTTAGGACGTTTTCCTATTAATATTAAAATAAGTTATATTTTGTTGTTATTCAGTTAGTGGGGTACTTTCGGACAGCACTAGATGGGGCACATTTGAACGAATTGTACAACTAAATTTGTACGAAAATATTTTGTCGACACGAACTGTCATTTTCATACAAATTAAGTTTTCGACTTGCTACATACACTACTGTTAAGGCATCTTAACTAAACCCTCTGGTAGGTAGGAAAGATTGTGTTAGTGTGCTAATTGTTGCTATCATTGCTATCCTCGATATAAATATATATTAATACCTATTTTTATTATCTTTATTAAGGTTGATTTTGATGCCTGTGAACCAGATGCTTTGAATAATTTACCAATCTATCAAATAGTAGTTCCTTCGAAGTCAGTTTTGACACCAGAAGCGTTTGACCCCATCCGCATGTTGTAAGAAGTAATAAAACAAACAAAATGACGACGACGGCCAGGAAAACCACGAATTTATACTGCCACACCCGAAAATAAGAAGTGCTAATCCGCACCAAAGATTAAAAAATGTGATTCTAAATTTAAGATACCTAACTAATTAAATTTTGTTTTTCTTAAGAAAAGCTATGTAATTTTTGTTCACTATAAGAAAAGTATTTTATTTTTGTTTAATAGAAGTTAAATCTTTATTTTTGTGTTTAATTTCATTGTTAATAAATGAATTTTGATTTATATGTGTCGTTATAATCGCACGTACGGAACTACCCCACAGCGTACGAAGGTACCCACAACACTGTACGAAGGTGCCCCGTTGATGGGGCAGATTCGTACGTTTTCCAGATTTAGTTTAATTCATAATTATGGTTGAACCATCAGATGAAATCATTTGTCATTTTCTTATATGAATCTCAGATAGTTAGATTATAAATTTAAGCTTGCAGATGATTGATTCATGGAAAAATAAAAAAATAAAAAAATAAAATGTGAAAACCGTACGAAGGGTCCCGACCTTCCCCTACATATTTATTTGTTCGGAAGGTTGTGTTCATATATATGTCACCGTTACATTATATGGTTTAATGGAGATCATTCTATATCTGTATTTTTTTTTAATTTTCTCAAAGGCAGGGAAAGATTTTGCAAGTGTTTACTAAGAATTTCCTTTAGTATGAGTAAGAAATTAAAAAAGATGATATTGAAGTAGGAAGAAAAAAGTAAAATTTTATATGATAAATGCATGTCATTTACGATTTTATATACAAAAGAATCAGTCTTGTTAATTAAATTTTAAAGTCTATTCCTATCCATAGATATTTTAGTAAGAGTAACACTCACATGTCATTAGATGCATTGTCTATAATAATGTCAATCTTGTCTTTAAGTAGTTTTTTATGGTTCGCGTCAAACTCATTGCCACACGACGGACTGACTAGCAATAATGAAGCAACACAAACAAGCCGATAAACTTGAAATCCCAGCTCATCAAAGCGGGGCTTGTCGAGTTGTATAGTCTGAAAAAAATGAAGCGAATAATATTTAAGAAAAACAACTAAATAAAATTTGATTGCCCTTAAATGAATACCTACTTATTTTTGTTAATTAGACGGCTAAATATATTTCTATATTAATAATAAAGCTTTATTAACTGTTATATAATAGTAGTTTATGCAACTGTCATATAATACCTAATTATACACAGTTGCATACACTTCTTTATTTAATCTCATGGCTATAGGTTTCCAAGTCATAAAGTCTTGTTAACATTTGTCGTATGCTTTTCTTGATTTTTCTGGCAAAAGACTATTCGTCAGTTTCGTAACTGTTTCTAGAATGTCAGGTAGAGTTAAATTTTCATCAGTATCGTCGGTGTTGCTTGACATTTTTATCCAACAAAATATTACTCAAATTCGTATGTACGAAATAGCGCCAAAATGGAAAAAGTCTGTTATTGGTCTATTGACTCGGCAACCGCGCGTTGCGCGCGCAGGCCGCTCACCACAGATTATGTGTACTTAAATTAAATTGAAACCTCCTTGGTCGGGCAACATTGTACTTTAATCATTAAATTGTTTTAAAGCATTGTTTTGTTAGGAGAATAATGCTTTAATTTAATTTTTTAATTTTCTTAAAGAAGTAGGTATGTATATTAAATATTACTGAATGAGATTATATAATATACATGATATTCCAGTTCTAATTTCATTTATATACTACTATATATATATATACTCGTGGAGAAGGCTTTCTCGAGAAGACTCGTCCCCCAGTCTTCTCGAGAAAGCCAAAAATGTATCCAAGCTTTGATTGTAGTCAACTACTATTTTCCATTATAATACCTCTGGATATCCTCTCGATTCATCCCACTCAAGTAACTCCAAGTACGCTTTGGCCAGTGTTTGGGCTGTGACGTTTCTTATGATATTTGTGTCTGTGACCGGGAGAGTAAGCTCTGCCTTCTCGATGTGTCGTTGCAACCATTCACGGGTGTATTGGAGTCCATCTTTAATATTGCCCCATGTTAAAAACCCCATTATTAATAAACCACACCAAACCAAATAAACCAGTCTTATTGCACTTGGGGATTTCCCCTAATTAGGGGGTACTTTATATAAGATTTTTTTTCCCTAAAAAACGCACGATTCTATAATTTATATTAAGCCTAAACCAAATATAAACCCCAAGCGCCGCTATAATTGAAATATCAAAAGCTAAAAAATACTCCAACATCGAAATTTTATTAATGTATTTTCAATTACCATATTGCATTTATATGCACATTTAAAATTAGATCTCAAACCGAGTGTACTTTAGGGGTTTTAAATTTATATTTAGGGGTATTTGAAGTTGGTTCTAGGGGGAACATTATGTTGGAATTGGCATACTGATTGCTCTATATGCAAAGCAGTATTGGATTGAGCGTGCGACACTCCACCCTGTCGTGCGTGGGAATAAGGGCCGTGCACCAAAATAGACTAGAATAGATAGAAATTTCTTTCTATGTACGTATTTAACACTTGCTAGTACCCGTACAGAAAAACATCGTGAGGAAACCGCCATTACAACTGGCTGATCACCTACTTGCCATTTAAAAACATGTGACTACGAAACAGATACAGTAATCTGAAGCCAAGACCTGGGGCTATACTGTTATTTTTTAATTGAACTAAAGTACTCCTCTCTAATTGAGTTTACTCTGTCATGAAATGAGAGATAGTACTATATATATAACTATGTATAACTATATTAAGAAATTATTATGTCAATAATTATTGTAAGTTATTGAATTAGTGTTTACTTACAGAATATTATCATTCTGTAAAAATAAGGAACATATTACTATTACTTACTACCAGCAGTAAATAATTATTAATTTGCTGGGAGGTGAACCTACGATGAAAAGTGTGTAAACCTTAATATGACTAATTTAATTATTCATGTTTATTTTATTATAAGAATTTTTGGTCTCAAACCACATTTTTTTATATGGGTAAATAAAAAACTGGAAAATTTTAACAAACTCCATTGAATTTTTAGAGTAATTAAATATTAATTGGTCAGAACTTTTCAAATATATTACTTACCCTCAGAGAGTTTGAGCATTTCATCAAATTTATTTCTTTCATATTGAACACTTTCTTTCTGCACGTGTGGTCTTATCATGGCTATTAATGTGTTGGCCAAATCCAACTTGAGAACTTCTAGTGTCTCCAAAATAGCACGGAATATGTCTACCTGAAAATATTTTGATTAACAACGAATATGTATCGCAATACAGCGAGGAAATGTTGCCAGCGTTAAACCAAACTTTTTAAATTTGTTTTGATTTTATTTTTAATTATTTTTATTATTACTTTGTAGGTTATGAAAATTAACAAATTAGTTTTTAAATTAATAGTGTTTTGACCTTAGTCTCTTTCTTTAGAAGATAAGAATAGCTGTTTAACAGATTTGGAAACTAAATTTAAGTTTGATTTAGATTCTAGAATATGGACCTAACAGCACAAGGTAACCCCAAGGTTCAATGGAATCTACTTTTGCCAAAAAAACTACTTACAGTGTCAGTAAGTTGAGTGATGTTCTGTATCATTTCATCTCTTGCGGGAGCAGCCAGCTTTGCCATCAGGTCTATAACAAACTTTGCATACTTCTGGAAGTCTAAACTGTTGTTCTCTGCTTGCTGCTTGATAAAATCTCTATCAAGGACTTCTTCTATCATTTCCTTAATTCTTGTATGACGCGGTAGAAGTATCGAGAATAATCCCTGAAATTAAAAACATTGCAACATGAAACCTGAAATTATTCTAGACTGATTGTCTGAAGTTCCTTTAACAATTTTCATTAAACTTCAAAATTCTTTTTAATAAGCAGATACGTGGGTAACACTGAAAACGTTTAGAAAATGAAAATCTGAAGTCCCATATTTTCACTAAGCCAATATTAGAAGTGCAGTAACATAAGGTTATAGCACTTGCAAACAACCTTTGGTGTTAAGCAACAAGTGTGAAGTCATGAAGGGTTAGTTAAAGGGTTTTATTAGATGTTTGAATTTTAGCATCCATTTATGAATGGTTATTAACTAAGTATGTATATATCCATCCAAAATTTACACTATACCTGTTTCACATCTTCCAATAACACTAGTGCTTGTTTATACACAGGCGGATCAGAGTTCAATTGTTCTCTTAATATGTCAAAATACGCCCGATGCATTGTTTCTTTCACTAGCTTTTGATAGCTGTGAAATTAAATTTTATTAAATGTGTATGTGAAATGTAAATGATTGCTTGGTATGTCTAATGCATAGCAGGAATAGGAGATGTTGTACATGATTCAGCTTAAAAAGTGAAAGAGCCACCAAAATTGAGTATCTCATGCCATATACACACTGATAGAATTGATACATATATAAAAATTTGAATGACTTATGTGTCATGTAAGGTAATCTGAGGTCAGTTGCACCTCAATGTTGCACATAAAGACCAGTTATGAGTCATACATAATCAACAAAGAACTTGCTATTATTATAACAACTAAATACATTAGACAAAACAGTGTATGAGTTTTCTTATATTTATAGATATAATCTGCAGGCAACCTTACTATTATATTACTAACAAGTGATTTTAATTACTTTTGTTCAAGCATTTTAATTACATAGATCAAATGAATGGCAACTATTTTAGTAATTTTTTAGTTTTACCTTAAGTCTGGGATGAATTCTAGACTAACTCTAGTTCTTAAAGAAATATACAATTAATTACCTGTTATCAGGAGCTTCGAATGGCTCCAGCTTAAAGTCCTGATCAACAGCTATCTCATGAGCCAAAGCCATGTTCCTCATGCCATGGGCTGCTTTCATAATGTCCTCCAACGTCACAAAGTGAGGAGGTGAAGCCCCTGTTATACTTGTTCCACGAATTCGGAACTGTAGGGGCTCACTGGCAAAGTAGCTGTAATTGTACAATTTTTGTATCAAATATTGTTCTAACAAGGGTGTAGAGTATTGTGAAAAGAAACATACCAATTGCATAAAACATAAGACAACTAACATTGGAAATAAAATCTTAATTCAAAAATAATACATTTTTGAAATATGATTTTATATTGTAGTTCTCTATAAGTTATGTCTTACACACTCCATAAATCTGTTAGATAAAATAATGTTGTAAGTGCAAAAATAAATTAAAATAGTTTTATATTTTTGCTACTACATTTATAGACATATATTCAAAGAAAATAATAATAAAATGTTAAGTTAGAGTTCTTTGTCATTCTTAGAAACAAAGGGTCCTTTGTTTAGTGTAAATTAAAGTTTCATGTCTTTGATTAGAGTTTTGGCCTTTGATTATAAAAATAAATGTTAATACCTTGGGCCAGCTGGAGCGGTTCTTGGTGGAATCGTTATGTTTTGCTCAGAGTTCTCATCTTGAGAGCTTGAATCACTTTTGTCACGGTCGCCCATAGCTAGGCCGCAGTTTAAACTGAGCGTAAATATCAGGAAGGATTAATAAACCCTTTAATCCATATAAGGTAGAACGTGATATTACAGTTTCAAGATCTCAAATCATCTTATTCACCTTGAATCATTCCATGTTACAACACATAACCTAAATTTTAGTGTGGATTTCGTTGGTAAAATTTTATAGACATAAATATTGTTTATGCCGTATTTTCTAATATTCATTCAATTGTAATATTAGGTTGATTTCATAATTACGTGAATTGTTTTTCTTCTCGGTTTACAATACTTGTCAATTTAAAACAGCTGTCAAACGTTTAAATTAAAATTGACGTCACCTTTTGATAACATTACGAAACAGCTGTTAAGCGTTTCAAGCGACGCAAATCTACATTCTATTAGAATATTTATTATCAAAATTAAAATAAAGATTAGTACACTGATTAAAATTGGTTAAATTTTATAAAGATATTATAAATATATTTATATACAATATCCAGTGTTAAGTATTTATAAGATTAATTATAGACTATAGGTATTACACGTCTTGATATTGTTAAATATTGTATTTAACTATAAAAGTTTATAATAAAAGTTGTCTTATACAATTTAATAATATTTAATGCTGGCATCAACTTCTCGCTGTATTTCGATACTATTTCGTTAAGCGAGGAAAGCACCAGCTTTAGGTGAACGGTAGGGTTATCTGCCAGGCGCCAACTTAAATCTTTAATTAGCGCCTATGCACTAGAACCCCACGGCTCAAGAATCTCTACTAAATCAATGTGGAAAATGGAAAGACTCTTTTGATTTGAATATTTTGCTGTTTATTATTTTCCGCAAGTACTGCGGCTGCGCAAGCTTTTGTGCTTGTCCGAGAGACGAGGCTAACAGAAGTAGCCGGTAGTACCAAAGTCCCATCCTCCAAAGGATGAAATACATCCCAGCCGGCCGTCCTTGCTATGGTTTCTAGCGATGCCTGTTGGCTAAAAATGACTGAAATGTCAAGAGAGAAATGTCCGAGCGGCGTAGCAATAAAAACGACCTGCACTCTTTTGGCAATGGAGGGAATGGTGCCAGTGGCTATTTACTTCAATAATAATAATAACAATTTATTTATTGCAATTTATTCAATGCCACAGGGACACTTATGAGGAGAACATATGGGCCGTCCTAAGCGAAGACTGATGGCAATTTAAATTCAGTATCCGAAAGGGTGACCGTGTTTGGCGAAGGGTAAGCATAAATCCAATGACCGGCTTCCTTAGACCCCATTGCTACCAGCCTTTCGTGGTCTGTAGTTGAGATGTGACCTAAGTTTTGGAATTCAGATTTACAAAAAGGATCATCTCAGCTATTTTTAAAATTGACGTTAGACTTCTAGCTTGGGCCGGAAGCTAACAACGAATTTCTCGCATCTATTAAATCCGCACTCTTTAGAATATGATCTAAGTTAATAATATTTTACATACCAGACTGCTAGATTTGTGATCAGATGAGAGAAACGCTGGAAGAGCCACTCTTGTAATCTTGCGTACACCAAATCTATCAAAGCGAATAGCGATGCCTGAATCCAAGAAGTTGTTTCAAAACGATCGATTAAAATAGATTCCGATTAAGGTTTTAAAAAATATCCAACTTCTGAAGAGAGCCCGTAACTTCTGTATGTTTATTTTGATGGCTCTGAGTAACAACCACAAAATCCGGTGTGTCCAGAGCACTGGGAATTGGGATGTGTAACAAAAAGTGTTAATTACTGTTAATGTATCATGCGTATTATCTATTTGTATTTCCCGTTAAATAGTATTTGAATTACAAAAGCTTCTATATTAACATACTCTTAACCTAAATTCCAAAAGTATTAATTAATAATTAATAATTTTGGAACGAAGTTCCTTATCGCGCGTTGTGAAAGGGGGCTAGACGGAAAAAATTCTTACGAAAAGTTGTCACGACACTTTTTTGCTATTTGCTATTGTAATACACCGGTTCTCGTCCGATCACCGAAGTTATGCAACGTCGGGCGAGGTCAGTACTTAAATGGGTGACCGCCTGAGAACACCTCGTGATGTTGGCTTTTTTTTTGTAGGGATAAGAAATGAAAATTATTTTTGGAATCACTTAACTAAATAATTAGTCTTGTTAGAACGAAGTTATCGAGCGTTGCGAAAGGGGGCGAGACGGAATAAATTAAGACCAAAAGTTGTAACGACACTTTTTGCTATAGTTGTTATATTCGATTTAGCTATCGTCAACGTCCATACCACGTTGAATACACCGGTTCTCGTCCGATCACCGAAGTTAAGCAACGTCGGGCGAGGTCAGTACTTGGATGGGTGACCGCCTGGGAACACCTCGTGATGTTGGCTTTTTTTTTCGTCGTAAGATTGGTGTCGAGAAAATCTATCATACTGTTATTAGACCAGTGCAGATAGCCTTCAAAATAAATAAAAAGTGAAAAATTTCCTATTATTTTGATCATATTCCTGCTTTTCTAATGGGTTTCATCCTACTGTAATTTTTTTTGGTTTCAAAAATTATCGGCACTGGTCTATATGATACCAATTAACATATAAATTAATCGAAAGGAATTTCGTTCCATCCGGGTGTCCCTTGACACCTCTAAAGTTTTTTTTATTTTATTTTAAAAGGCACACTAACGAAACACATACAAACACTTACAGAGAACACATAAGATAGAAAACAAGATACATGCATGTGCATCAATAACAAGTGTGCACAACATTTATAGGGAAACATTACAATGATGAAGAGAAAATAACTTCAACATTAAAAGTAAAAAACAAACTATATAAAAAAAAATACAAACATGCAATTTACAAATACCTACATATAAAAAAAAAACAATAATTTTCAACTTTGCAATTATTTATTGGTCACGGATCAACATTGGCTGCAGCATCTTACGCCTGAAGACTGTCACTAAATGGATCTGCTTGGCATGTACTCAGAGCGTCGTTTAATGTCGATAGAGATCTGTGTAGAGGAGCATTACAACCGACGTTGGTCCTCACTGCCCGAACGTAAAAAAGGATTGAAGTTTTTCTTGTGTTCCTCTTTAAGAGGAAGTTAACTTGACTTAAAACATTAGGTAAATCTACCAAGTTATTTAAAATTTTGTAAATAAATATAATGTCGATAAGGCGGCGTCTATCGCGGAGTGATTGCAAGTGAAAGAAAGCTAGTCTTTTTTCATACTCGCATTTATAGCTAATATTATTAGGTATCGTTAAAGAAAAACAACTTTTAATAAAAACTGGTTTAAGTATTAATTACTGTTAATGTCTTGCATCACGCGTATTATCTATATTTTGTAATTCCCTTTAAATAGTATTTGAATTACAAAAGCTTCTATATTAACATACTCTTAACCTAAAAGTATTAATTAATAATTAAGTATTAATTACTGTTAATGTCTTGCATCACGCGAATTATCTATATTTTGTAATTCCCTTTAAATAGTATTTGAATTACAAAAGCTTCTATATTAACATACTCTTAACCTAAAAGTATTAATTAATAATTAATAATTAAGTATTAATTACTGTTAATGTCTTGCATCACGCGTATTATCTATATTTTGTAATTCCCTTTAAATAGTATTTGAATTACAAAAGCTTCTATACTAACGTACCTACTCTTAACCTAAAATATCGAAATAAAGAATCTGGACAATGTTAAAATAATTGCAAATGTATAATTCTTGCAACAAATGTTCCAAACTTGCTTTTGCTTAGATGCTATCGAAAATACACCTATGTTATAAAATCAGTTTGTTAAGCTATTTTTGTACGCTATTTCAATAGAAGATATCCTTTTTTGGGGAAATTCGGTAGATGTGACTCGGTATTTTGACAGTACCAAGTGTATAAGAATCCTTGAAGCAGTTATGACTGTAAAAAAAACATCTAAAATAGTTAAAAACATTTAAAGAAACTGTATATACCGAGGGATCCAACACGGCTGTCCATGCATGTTGCACCACGATCTTCAAAAAAAATTTACGCCATGGCTATGTAACTACTTAATCACCCTCCTAGAAGTTATAGATCACTGCCGTGTAATGTTTTCAAGGGGAAGGTGATTAAATTTTCAAAGGCAAGATGCATTTATAGCGTGTTTGAGTATTTAGACCATAAGTTAGAAACAATTACTAATGACTTAACTTATTACTATGACATTATGAAAATTAATATGACATTTGCATGCCTATTTTTATACGGCTGATTGTGCGGATTTTTATAATTAATCGATCTAATATAATATATTATTCAGGGGAAAGGTTGACATTCAAACCTTCAAGAAGAGAGTACTGATTCTTGAAAGGCCGGTAACGCGCTATTCTGCCATTATTATTCTCTGTCTGTGTATCTCTTAACATACCGTGAGCCCCCGTGAGAAATATATAAATAAGAGAAACCAATATTTCGTGTTGATAGTTGACAACTTCATGATGGTTTCTTCGATCTAGCCACAACATATATATAATATATACTTATAAAAGTTTCATTCATAGTTACGCTGTAGCTTACATAAACTTCCAGGTATGAAAGTTCTTAATATTTTATAATAAGTTTTATTTCCAAGAATCGCTTAAAGGAATTGGCTAGCCGGAGTCAAGAAGGCAATTTAACTTTTTCACAGACAGAACTAGCAACTAATTTACGTACGTAAACTGAGTGTCGGAACGGATTACTTTTCACAACTAACTTCCTATTTCATTCCGAAAGAAAATATTTACTGTCGCTTCCTAGGACTGGAGATAATTTGTTTTCTATTTCTAGAAAAAGTGTTAACGTAGTAATCAAGATTGTTCTTTATTTAATTATTTTCAAAATATTATTACGAAACAGTAAGTCTAGTCAACAAAGCGTTTTAAAATATATAAACGACTCTTTAGCTAGGATTTTTAGTTCAGAGTCTTTCTTACAATATAGTAATTAGAAAGTATACGAGCCAGATTATTTACTTGAAGTAGATCACAGCCATTAATATGACACTAAGATAGTATTAGAGTTATCATCCATTTGCAATGCAAATAGGAGCCAAGACGGTGACAAAAACGTAAAGCCGTTCCGAACAGACGATGTAAGATCTTTCGTATTACCATAATGTTATCTGTAAGGGTCTTATGTGACTGTAATTATGATCTGTCCTAATTCTTTACCTAATTTACCATGCCTCGCCTCACGTACTTCTAAAATAAAAATAAAAGTTAGTATATCTTTCCAAATTGAGTTATGTATCCGTTCGTAATTAAAGCCAAAAATTTTATAAGTTGCATTGTTACAGAGTCATCGGACGGCAAGGCAGAATACAAAATACCATCCGTATCCGTATCACCTCGTCGTCCATCGTTCCACAACTGAGCGTTTCTTAAGGCAGTTTTTACCGCGCATTACCCCTATGTGGAACCAGCTGCCCACTTTAGGAATTCCTAACCAATTCGACTTAGGGTCCTTCAAGAAAAGACCGGCAACGCACTTGTCTTCTGACAATATGAGTGTCCATGGGCGTCGGAATCACTTAACATCAGATGAAAGTCCTGTCCGTTTGCATAAAAAAAAAGTGCATCAGGCGGCACACGATAGATTCCTGGCAAACATTTACCACAAGTAAAAGTAAGCATTACCGAATATAACGTAAAATTGCGTAAGGATAAGGTGAAATAAATAAAACTCTGATACCAATTAATTCTCAAAAGTTACGAAAACTGTTAATATTCTTCGTGAATCGCGCGAACTCCGTGTAATTTTCCATCTGAACTTTCGACAAACTGTGTCTAAGGTAAACAGGGTCTCTTATTAAACATTTTCACAAGAATCAACCAAGCCTTATGACAGTAAATTACCAATGAATATAACTGTATATATACTTTTCTGTCGTACAGTGGGTTGGTTCTGTAATATAAAGGAAAAATGTTGGAGTTCCTATATATATATAATATTGTAATACCAGAGCGATAATTCGACTCTTCACGATGTATTTTCTAATTCCAGCCACGAACGAGTTTAATACCTCCTTCAAAACAAACCTCTTAGTACAATTTTAAAGCTACCACAGATCAGAGGGCTTATTAAAAATGGAGTGGGATTACGTAGTGCAGTTTCAACGGCTTTCCGATAGTTGAAGTCGGACTTACTGACTTACCGCTAAATAGTTAAGTGTATCGGCGCCTTTAGTAGCTCAAACTTTGGGGAGTTATTTTATGATTCATTCCACTCAATTTATTATAGACTAGCTTTGACGTAGTTTTGACTTTGTAGAGAATAATGTAATATAACTTAAGTATATCTCTAATTTATGTATAGAAGATCTATCGTTCCTCAGCCATAAATAAGAATAAAGTCGTGACAAACTGATAAAGGTGTTGTTTTATTTTGTGGCGTTTGTGTTTTGGATGAGCTTTTATGCTAAACAATAATGTTATACAGAAGGATAAAGACGCAAGGAAGAAGTGGCTATTTGTAACCTTCTACGTTCCTTGCATCTTTGTAGCTTGTTGCATGGACGAAAGTTTTTAATTTTAAATTGTTACAATACAAGTTTTTTAATTGTTATAAATTATACAGAGCAAGTGATGATATAAATTTAACAAATGTTTGACGTCCAATATATAGGAGTCAAGAATGATTATAATAAATAAAAGTGTTTCTATTATTTCTATTACTGTAATAGGGATAACATTTATAATTTGTTTAAATTAAAAGACTGCATATAGGAACTGATAAAGGTTAACCCAGTGAGGCAAACGCATTTCTAAATATAAAATCGGAATCGATTTTAGTACCGGGCTATTGTATTACAACTAAGGGTAAGATTAAAAAACGAGACAGCACAACTATGACTTCCGATAGTCAAAATCTGATACATTTATGAGAGCCAGAACTAGCGCTATGTTTCAGTCTCTTACCTGATGAACACATGATGATGAGGTGGTGTAAATGTGAAATACCACTAGGAAAAATAAATAATAACTAATAAATAAAAATTGTATGCATGTAATATTATATAATAGATTTTTATACCTTAATTAGCCTCTAACAAATTATGTAGTTAATATTTGAAAAAAACCATCATAAGACCTTAAATAATCCCAATTATACATTTTAATGGCGTATATAATATTATTTTCCCTTTAATTAACGACGTATGGAGATAAACTACGGGATTTAAAGTTAAATTAACAAGGGACCCGAAGTGTCGGCGATACCCAATGAATATACTGTTTTATCATACATTTTAATCTGTTAAAATAATTTAAACTTTTAATCCATGTTTGCGGAATGGATGTGATTCTGTTCACCGAAATTTCGCCAGTCGGATATATTCTGTGCCGTCGGTTTAATTATTCTTTTTGTTTGACGGTGTTTTACGAAATGATAATTGTGATCCCGCCGTTTTAATTAATACTCTTTTGTGTTTCATATAATAGTTAATTGTATTAATACTTATCTGTAATGATTAATTAATGGACATAAACGTTACCGTGCTTTGTAGCTTCTTTTTACTTCTGAAATGTCGGACACCTCGAGCTACTAAGCTCGATATATACAGGGTGGCCAAAAAGTCGTGGATCAAACGCAAATAGGGGATAGATGAGGTCATCAGCTGCAAAAAATTGTTCTACGGTAGGTCTCTAAGCTCAACCCCTGCAGAGTTATAATTTATTTTGCGTGACCTCATCTATCCCCTAGTTTCGTTTGATCCACGACTTTTTGACCACCCTGTATATATCTGTTTAAGCAATCTGTAGCTTAACGTTTTATTGTGTGTAGGATATTCCACGTACCTAATTTCTCTTTTTGGTTTGAATTGGATGGCTGTAACTGTCAGCAGACAGTAAACTGACAATTAACTTGCTTTTTAGAGTATCTTTTTGACATATAAATAAATATTTTTTATACACTTCGTTAGTTGGACTTGCATCGCTGTATATAATTAGGATTCCACCATTTTCTAAAGTTCTCATAAGATGACGTCTGTTTTAATGTAACTGGATTATTCATTAATTGACAAAGATCACATCCATCTAGCGGTGTTGACTTGCTGATGATGTAGTGATTCCGCCACCGGAAATAGTTGTAATACTTTTCTCTATTGGCTATGATATCGTGCATAGTTTGCGCGAGAGTGGCGGCTGATGCGTTGACGGCGTTTAAGTATGACCCGGGTGGTAGGTATCTGGAAGTATGTACTGTGGTTGGGCTATGAATGTCTTTTTTAATAAAGAAAGATAAGTTGTACTTTAATTCCACTTATATGAACTTGTAGACAGAAGCTTTATCTATAATAAAATATAAAATGTGAGTTATTTATGTAACATAAAGTATTATTATACGCATTAGCAATAGACAGCAGTTATAGAAGCGTTAGCAGGTAGAGATTGGAGAAAGAAAGCCATAGATAGAGGTATTTGAAAAGGCTGGAGAAGGCCTTTGCCCGTGAAGAGGTTCCGATCAATGGTAATGAAGTTCTGGCAAGGAAGAAAATGTTTATAACAAATCTAAACTGGATATTCAACAACAACAACATGTAAATATTGGAAATAAACGGGCTTTATTATTATAATTATATACGCATTAGCACGTTAAAGAATACATAACTGTGAATACACTCTAATCGCATTTCAACTTACCCCTTTATATAGTATATAGCATATAATCATAGATCTTGTAAATTACCTGATACCAATTAATAATTATAATTACAATCATCAACGAGTTAAGACATACATATGTTTAGATGTGATTTAAGCCTTAGTCCAGGTTATAAGCCAATCCTAACTTTTGTCACTCACTGATCTGATGACTGACCGATCATCAAAACTCTAAGGTATTTATTAAAAACATAAAAGATTTTTAATATTTATTTGGTAACTATAAAATGTTTTCAGGTGAGCTTATTACGTGATAACTCGGGAGAGAAGGTCACGTAAGTAGGCACTGAATAAATTGTACGACCTGGTATTACATAGATCTCACTTTTTGCGGTAGTAGTAGCAAGGTTTTGCAAGTTATGTTTTTGATGGCATACATATTATTTGACATAAACTATATAAGAACCATGGTATAGAAGCCTACATACCACTGAACTTGTTTGGGTAAAAACATTCATACTTATCATAATGAACTCCGCCGTAAACAATTGGAACTGCATAATTGTCATATGCGTTTAAAACGGCCTGGGTGATGTAATCGGCTGACATAGAGTCTTCGAAGGCTAAATAAAAATAGTACATCTTCTTCACTCTCCAGTAGCAAGGCTGCATGGTTCTACGTCTGCACTGCCTTGGTCCACATTCACCTGGGAAATATACGAAAATGCTACGTGATATCAATTATGTTTTGTCACGCTTATTTATTAGTAGTGTCACGTGAGTAAGAAGGACAAACATTTTATGGGTATTTTCTTGTCGTGCTTAACTTATTCTATGTTAAAATATAAGGCACTAATCTACCACCTTGTCGCGCTTAAATCAATCGTGAAGCAGTCATTTTACGATTTGGCATTCTGATAAACAATAAACTACAAACTCCCTCCGCTTGTCAAGACGTAATGTGAAATTGCTTATCAGAATACCATGAGATTCCAAAAATGACGTGAGTGATGAAGGGAGCGTTGGTAGTGTGAGGTGAACTCACGGATTAGCAGACGGCAACGCACGGCTGATGAAAATGCTTACTATTAAGTCAAAAATAATAATGAAATCATACCAAATATATCAACAGTTAAATTAAACCTCCCAAGCTCCTTCTGAAGATCTTTTACTAAAATCTCTCTTTTGTTTCTACTCTTGCACTTATCAAGGAATATAACAGCGGCTTTCGATTTTGTACTAAACTTCGATTTAATTTTCTCATCGATAGGCTTCATATTTGTGTTCCAATGAAAATGGCTGCCCAGCTCTTCATACTGGGTGTTGTGCACTGTTATAAATCTGTACGGGATTGTTGAGTCGTATCTAAAAAGTATTTAGTAATAATTAGATATTTAATTCCTGTATATAATATTATCTTTTGTGGTAAAACCAAGAGTATACTGTTATTGGGGTAATCCTTATTTCTGTTTACTATGCTGCCTTGGAAACAGGTAATAATCAAACCTGGAAAGATTCAATTGCAAAACAACAGCGACCTTCACCAAATTTTAGCATCAGCAAAAATTCGCTGTCAACGCATTTCGATATACAAGGTCAAGGAAATGCAAATTTAAATTGTAATTCTACGCAAGGAGAACAATCATTTCAATATAAATCGGATAAGAAAAATTCTTCGTTTTCGGCAACGGTGGAAGGTTTAGTAGAAAGTGGTAACAATCACAGTATACAGCAGATGCCAATACAGAAAACCACTGATGTGCAGCAGGAAACATCGATAGTGGCATTGGCGGAAGCAGTGGCAGCCAGTCTTGGAGTGGACTCCAAAGAGCCCACCCGGTACTGGACTCCGATAGGTCTTAGTGTTAATCACAGTATACATGCAGATACTTATCAAGGCGGAGAATTATCCAAATTGGCAGAAAGCGTAGCACAGTCGTTAACTGACTACAGCAAGGAGCAACATAGCATCATCTCCGGGGTAGGAGAGACCCTACACCATAGTACAGATCATCAAAGTGAAGTGAGTGGAGAAGATAAATCACATCGTGTTAACGTGGGTATCAAAAGCATGAAATGACTACAAGACAAGCAAGAAACAGAAGAAAAAGAAAGTTTGTCTCAGTCCATTTCTTATAAGAAGAATAAAAACTTAAATAGTAGCTTAGTATTGTCTAAGACTAAGCCTTTGTTAGAAGTACCGATTCAATTGTATACGGAACCCTATTTGCAACACAATTTAACACAAGGGTCCGACATAGTTGTAAGAAACAATAGCATAATATCTAGAAAGAGTTATGGCAAATTTTCGCATGGATCAGAAAAGGTTACACGCAAATTAAATGGTTTGCCTATCAACAAAGGCAAGAAACAAGCATACGTGAAAAAGGAATTTCGAAGAAGAAAAAATGGTGTTAAGATTAAAAAAGGAATTTCGAAGAAGAAAAAAAGGAGTTAAGAATAGAAAGGAATTTACAGATAGGTCAAAAGGAAAAGACAGAAAGAGTGGTGATATCTTTCGTAAAAGGGGAAGATTGCGAAACGTTATCGTTCCGCACTATAGAAGGCTTACCGATTCAAGATTTTGTAAAAGTAACATACAGCAAACTTATTCGGTTATGCAATCCTATGAGTCTAATATGAGTAATCAGAGGAAGAGAAAGAAAAGCACCATATATAAAATAATACTTAAAATTCCTTTAAGCATACAAAGCAGAGCCTTTCGTATGTTCAGTTCCATTCGTGTATAACACATACATACATTGTCGAAACTTTATATTAAATTATACATACATCAATTTACATAAATCATTTATAACGTGAAAAACGATTAATAATATAATATCATAAACAATGAATGGAATGCCAGCTAAGCAAAATATCATATGTTAGCTAGAGGATTGACCTACTGTGAAAGACGTCAACTACAATGAATAATATTATGCAAGATATCAAATTACCGAGGTACGGTTGCATTTTATAACAATTATGTTTAACCTAGGTCATGGTTGCATTCACCAAACCTGTAATATATTTTGAATGCTCATCATAGTTCTCAGAATGTGCTCAGGACAGGTAGTGGATAGGATATTACAATCATATAAAGATCAGGAGACGTCACGGAGCAGTAGGTGCAGCATCGGCAGAATCAGCAGCCGGTCTCGCAGTGGCCTCAGGAGAAGCCACCCGGGTCCGGACACCGGTTAGGTAGTGCAAAAGCCCATGAGCTATGGGTCCTAGTGTTAGTGATAGTGCCGTGGAATGGTGTAAGAAGTGTTAGCGTAAGCCTAGAGACTGTTAAGCATATAATGAAATCATATTGTAAAGCACTACATATTCATCTTGCACTTTTGCCTGGGGGAGTATGTACGAGCCAAGGCTGTACATTTTGCCCACTCAGGCTTCCTTAGTTTTATAATCGTGATTATTCCCTACGTACGTGCCAAGGCTCGTACATTCCAATCACCTACAAGCGTGATGTTTGTCTTATGTAAGTACGTGTCCTGGCTGTACAGTTTGATCACTTATAAGGATGACGATTTCCTAAATCGTCGGAGTCACGCCCCGAGAGCATAGCCAGACGTAGGCACTCTCTCTGCTTGTTAGATTGCACTTATTATATAGCAATTAACATAATAATTATTATTTCGCTCATATTCTATTGTACGCGAGTGATAAATATAGAGTAAATTCAAATTATTCTATTATTTCGAACCCCTGATGATCCAGGAACCGTACAATACCATTAATTGAATGTAAATAGCAAATAGGCTAAATGTACAATATGTTATGTATTTTATCACTATTATTCTTCCACTTTCGTTTTTGATGTCTATTTGTGTGTAGGATTCGGTAGGTAACGAAAGAGAAGTTACTATTTTGCAATAAACTAAATTCCAATTGAATAGAACAACTGATTCATCAGTGTCCACTGAAACAAAACAGGATTAGAATTCAGAACTTGGGTAGCCATTGCAACGACTGAATAAGAGAGTTGACTTGTAAATAAACTACCCACTTTGCGACGACCGATCATGGTAATAGCTTTAAGCCCAATTAATAATAAAATCGTTTCACAACTGTGCGTTTCTTGAGGCAGTCTTTGCCACACACCACCACTAAGTGGAACCAGCTGCCCACTGATGTATTCCCTTCCGAACCAATTCGACTTAGGTTCCTTCAAGATAAGAGCGTAGCAATTTTTAAAAGGCCGGTAATGCACCTGCGAGCCCTCTGGCAATGTGAATGTCTATGAGCAGCGGTATCACTTAACATCAGGTGAAGCTCTCCTTCCCGTTTGCTACATTAAAAAATAATAATGTAAATAATTAATATACCTGTAGGTCCAAGTCCAATTAAAAAAGTTATCATACTTCGAATCACAAATAGGATAGTTATCTGCCGAATTATTAGCCACAAATATATACCTCTGATTTTGACCTCTCACATGCGGGAGATGTTCAGAATCCACACTAACATCTTGAAGATTAAAAAGTATTAAATCGAAATAACGAATATCACCGAAGAGATTCCTGTTTCGCGTCAAATAACAATTTGTATATTCACATTTTCGGTTAGTAAAGTATGTTTGCCCGTCTCCTTTCAAAGCCTGAATGTTAGTCCAGACCAGTATATGCTTCATGTCGGGTTGAAAGCGAATCAATTCTTTTACAATGATCCGCTTTTGCGAAAATTGGATCAAGAAGATTAAACACACCGGAAGTAATACGTGTACGAAATGTTTGTAAGGTTTTAAACTTCGCGTTAAGTTCATTATATAAGTGAACACCTGGCACATGTTTATAATAACGCTGATACATAAATTATTTATTTTCACATACACGTAAATGAACTAGAAACCATTTAAAACAAATCAAATATATGCAATAGATCGCTAATTAATGAAACCGCCATAAAAACCTTAATATTTAATAAACATGCCTTACGTGAAAATATGCCATTGATTATAAATTAAAACCCAGTAATGTGAAATAATTAGCTAAACTAAACTAATAGCTACTTCTAGTAGCTAGTTACGAAAGCAACAAAAATACTTTGTTTTTATTGTTTATGTAGTTTTTAAGCGCAAAACTATGATTTTTCACTGAAATGTAGACGTTTAACACTGTCTACTGTACTTTGTGTGAATAGCTCGATAGTCTAATGAGAGAACCGTGTTAGGCCAGTCAATATTTACAAACAACTCCATGTTACAGATTTCGCAAGATCAAATACGGTATGTCAACAATAACACTAGGACAATGCTCTCAAAATGCCTAGTATGTTTGAAGTCTGAGATTGTTTCTATATAGGCTTCCGACAAAAAATTTACGCAAATTTCTACAGCATCTCTGTGGCTTCGTTAGTACTCTAAGTCAGAAATCATTTACAATATTGACTAGATTAAAGCATGAATATATCACTATAATATAATAGATAATTGTAAATCTTCTCCGTAAAACTTTTTAGTGTTATTTTACGCAAATTGCATTTTACATTCTATTTTCCTCACTAAAACCTCTTCAAATAAATCATTGTTTAAACATTGTGGGATTCTGCGTTAATAACACATCTTGCATCAAGTTCCATAGCCCAGCCCAGCTTTGGATTCACATTTGATAGAATAGTTATTAAAATGTGGTATTAATAATCACTTAAAATTTTGTTATACCAATATGATATGTTTTATTTATCAGACTACACAACTAGTAGTAACAATTTATACATATAAAATATCTAGTTATATATGTTACTCATCTGTAAAAAATATATTATTTAACAACAATGGGCATGTAAAATATGATTAAAACGACTCACAAATGATTTCATTTGTCACGCGGCTTCCACGATTTTTCTTCAAAACGTACATATTGTGCGAGTGATGTGGGTCCTGCAAGTTTTTTTGAATAGACGATTGCCGTTGTTATAGAAATCATTTTGATGGGAGCTTTTCAAATTGTATTTTTGTCGCGATTGTGACATTAACGAGGGGACGAATTTGACTTGTGTAAAGAAAAATAAATTACATATTCCGACGACGAAAACATGAAATCTCTGACGAGATTTTGTTAGTTTTTATATTTTTAACGGATAGAAACGCTTTTTATGTAACCCGGCCTTTCAAATGATTTACATATAATAATGAATTTGGTGGATGTTTTTCAAAATGTATAGTAGGTTTACGAATAATCTTGAGTGTAAACACTTTCTATAAATAATATGTTAGTTGATCGCCAATAACGTTATTTAAAAAGTAAGCTTTTTAAACATTTTATCTTCTCTTCCGGTTGGGTAACAACTTGAATTGCCCGGTATCTTATGTTAGTCTAAACAGTCCTTCGGCGGATGTGATGCAGGTCCACTCGCGTAGGTTCCGCAACCACGACTTTTCTTTCTACCAGCCCATCTCTTGCCTTGAATTTTGCCCATCGTTATAAGCTGCAACAAGTCGTATCAATGATGATGCAAAACGTATCCAAAATATGCAACTCTCCGTATTTTAACAGTCTACATAAACTTTCGTGTCATCCCGATTCGTTAAAGGACTCATTCATTCGTTACTTTTGGGATCCAGCTGCAAAGCATGCAACGGTAACACCGCATTTCGATAGCTTCGAGATCTTCTTGTGTCTTCTTTAATAGTCCATGCCTCACAGCCGTATTGTGCTACTTTCCAGATGTAACAGAGCAAGAGTCTCACTGTCAATTTTATACTCAAACAAATATTTTAACCCAACAAACGTTTGTTTTGCTATACTATTTCTAGGAAACATTTTTTAGATCAAGAAAAATAACTATCTACAATATTAAAAAGTACGGGTTGATCGTAGAGGGGTGAAAATTAAGGGTTGTATGTATTTTTGTAAAATAAAAAAAAATAAAAAAATTTGGGGTGGACACCCCTTATCACTTAGGGATTTGATAAACAAATTTATAAGAATCGGTCACGTCGAATCATCGAAACACGAGAATTTTATATATTAGATAAAAAGAATAAACGAATCCTTGATAAAAAATACGTCAAAGTGACGAAATGAAGCATTTGCAATGAATTTCTTATTCAAATAAACAAAAGTACCTAATTCAATATGATAAGTCGGATTTAGTATTCAGTGTAAGGAAATGTTTCGGTGCTAATACACGCCGTTCAGTATTCAGTGAAGGCCGGTGATTTTCCAATGAGCGAACTGCTACGAATGCAAACGCGATATCTTCACTACGTCTTACAAATGGACTTATTCGAATTGGAAAGCTTTTTAGTAATGTAATGTTTAAAATAACTAAGAATAGCGTAGAACTTACTTTTTGAGTCATGCATGCATTTGGTTGGCTACGAAGACTAAATTAAGATGGCTTTTGTTTATGCAATTCATTATGAAGTATATAATATATAGACAATAAATTCAATCATTATTTTTCATGTATCCGTTTTTAGTTTAGTTTGTTATTTGTTCCGTTTTAGTTTTGTCTTAATAATTATATGTAATATGTATTTTTGCACTTTTTGCCTACCTTATCTAATTTATTACATTTTTTACCTGTTACCTGGAAGAGATCGCTCGAAAGCGATAAGACCGCCAGTTGTCTTCCTTTACATTTAAATATGTTCATATCATCAATAACAAAAACTTACCCATTGTCGAATGTTGTTTGACTTCTACCCCACTATGGGGATACGGGACGTGATACATACCTTTTTGATTTATACTTATATATATTATATATAATGTATGCCTCCACTGGCCAAGACTGGCGCATGATAGCCAGTGGAAAATCTTACTGAGCCACGCCGGAAACGCGATTCATTATTAAACCATCATAAAGTTCAGTAGAAATAGGCTATTAATCATCATCAGATAAAAGTCGTTGATAAAATTTAACATAGTAAATTCATTAGTGAGCCTTAAATTTGGTTCATATCATTCTACAATAAATGAAAATATTATGTAATAAAATACCATTCCTACTTGTAAACATCATTCAAATAATTAAAAAAAAGAAGAATGTGAAGAATTGGCAGAGTAACTCTTTTAAATGTAAGGCAGCCACAAATAAAAGATAAAACACTAACCCTTTAATAAAAGTAAATAAATATATTTACAAAATAATATTTAAAAAGGAATGATCAGAATATTCCCTCGTACCAAGGTGGCGGAGTCGTCTCGCTAATGAGATTCTTTGGCTCGCGGTTTGCATTTAAGATCAGCCCCACTCGTATATTGTACTACCGCTTCCTAGTAATGAACCTAGCAACGCTACTTAGTTCAACATCCGAAAATAATCTGTTTATCTCTTCCAAAGGAGACGCTAATTGAAGTAAATATTAATAGTATTGCGGAAGTCTTATTTATGTACTAACAACCGCTGTCCATCTATGACAGATAATTAATTAATGAAAATTCATTATCATAAGGAAACAACATCACAGAAAATATGTTTGTATATTTAAATGTATGGATAAAAATAATAACGAACCAAAACTTTTATCCAAACACAGACTCAAACAATAGTTTTTTTTTTAGACTAACAGGAGGTAAACGGGCAGGAGGCTCACCTGATGTTAAGTGATACCACCGCCCATGGACACTCACATTGCCAGGCGGCTCGCAAGTGCATTGCCGGCCTTTTAACAATTCGTACGCTCTTTTCTTTAAGGACCGTAAGTCGAATTGGTTCGGAAATAATTCAGTGGGCAGCCGGTTCTACATAGTGGTGGTAGTGGTACGGTTCTACATAGTGGTGGTGCGCTGCAAAGGTTGCCTTAAGAAACGCTCAGTTGTGCAACGACGGATGTTGAGGTGATATGGATGGTAATTTGTATTCTGCCTTGACGTCCGATGATGAAACTCAGCTGCAGGTCCGAACAACTCCTCTCAACACTCTCCATGGTAAATGCGGTATAAGAAATTACGATTTGTAAGAAAATAAACAAATAAATGAATTTTTAAAGGCAAGGGTTATACTGTGGGAGAATATTTAGACCATAAGTTTTGACAACAATTATAAATAACTTAACTGTTCTTATTATTAAAAAAATTGTTTGCAACGGTTTAATTGACTGTCCTGACTTATTGTCGCTTTTACTTTTTCACGCCCCTTCTTCACACAATACAAGGCAAACACAACTTTTTAAAATTCCTCGGTCTAATACAAACTATTTACGTAACTCAGTCATGTATCGTATACCTTCAGATTATAACAGAAATTACCAGCAAATAGATATATTTAATGTATCTAAAAAATGGTTAAGAAATTATATAAAAACTCAAGTATCCTTTATTAGATATAATGACTTTGTTATTCCTCATGAACTATGAATCTTAGAATGTAGAATTTATTATAAATACATATTATATTCTTTGTATATATTTTTTTGTATTTTTTGTATTTGTATAGGTGTAACTGTGCTTTGTGTGTGTTTAAATGTGTATTCCGTTTTTGGCTTGTATACCGTTAAGCAAATAAATAAATAAAATAAATTATTATGACATTATGATAATTAATATGGATACAGTGTTGGCCTAGTGGCTTCAGCGTGTGACTCTCATCCCTGAGGTCGTAGGTTAGATACCCTGTGCACAAATGAACTTTTTTTGAAGTTGTACTTCTTTAGGCGCGTTATGAAAAATTGATGAGAGTAAAATTTTACGATGCGCGCGCACCTATGACACAAAATTGGCAGTGTGATATAGCGTGCGCGAGCGAGATGGGAATAAGACAATCTACAAGTAAAAAGAAATAGAATATGCGTGAAGCTAACTTCACGCATATTCTATTTCTTAGCTTAGCAGCTTAACA